CAAACAACAATGACTGCTGCAACCAAAAAAAAAATAAAAATAAAAACCAACCAGGCATTGTGGCAGGCGCTTGTGGTCCCAGCTACTTGAGAGGCTGAGGCAAGAGCTTGAGCCTAGGAGTTAGAGGTTGCTGTGAGACTCGCTTGAGCCCAGGAGTTGGAGGTTGCTGTGAGCTGTGATGCTACGGCACTCTACCCAGGGGGACAGCTTGAGGCTCTGTCTCAAAATAAATAAATAAATGTGCAACTAGAGCCCCATGGACTCAAATGGGTAAGAGGGAGAAAGGACAGGCAAGGGGGAAAGAAAGTGCTGTTCTTGATGGTACTGAGCTGGAAGTAGAGAAATGAGGTCTGGTGGATAGAGGACTTGGGGAAGGCAAATCGATGGGAAGAAGCTCAAAGTAGGGATAACTTGGCTAGATCCTTCCATCTAGAGGTGGAGGATGCTGACCTTTCTGTGAGTTTTGCTGCCCAACCTGTGTAGGTCAGTCTCTGGCCCTCCCACCCTGTGGGCATAGGCAGGCCAGACTAGGCAGCCAGGCAGTTCAATGGATGGGTGGCTTTGATGAGCAAGGCCCAGGCTTATTCAAGACTAGGGAGAGTGCCAGCCATGTGGGTGTGGCCTACAGCTTTCCACCTTAACCTCTGGTACCTGGTTGGGGATGCTGCATAAGCCTGGAGAGTTGATTATGCTAATTAGAACTTAGGTGGTATGAGCTTTTCTTGTACCTTCAGTGTCCTATCTCACTTGGACCTTTCCACATCCCCGTGAGGAGGTCGAGTAAAGGTAATTCCCAAGTAAAAGACCTTCAGGATCTTGGATAGGATCTTTCCAGTATTTTGCTGGACTTTTGCTAGCCTGTCTGGGCCCTCCTTAAAAAGTTTCCCAGAAGGAAAAGTCAGATGATGGATTTGGTCTGATTACTCCATGTTGTTAAATATAAGCTCTGGCAACCACCTTGAACTTTAGAGTTGAATTGCTGTAAGAGAGTGATTTCATCCTTGTTCTGGATGTTAAGTTCAGAGCTTTACTTGACTTTAACAATGAATTTCTTCCAAAAACCAGTGCTCAGATCTGTTCTGTCAAAGGAAGAGGATGCCCTACTCTTCCCTTCCCCCTTCTCTGTCTTATAAGTTTGTCTCATAAAAATATAAATAACCCTCTCTTCATTTCAGATCCTGCTGCAACACTTTCTGTATAACTTTCATGGACTGTAAATCCAGCAACTTGGATGTTAGTTGCCTCCTTATAAGAAAGCAAGGGTAGGAGCCAGCATGGGCTGCACACAGCCCTGAAATTGAAGAAAGATGTAACCACTGGGTTTATCTATTTGTTGTTGTCCCTGGATTAGGCCTCCTTGTCTATAAGATACCCATGTACCTATGTCAGTGACACTTGCTTGTGGCAATAAGCTGTAAGTAAGCACTACATAAATGAAATGGAGTATTACCAGACAAAAGTGAACAAGAATTATGAAACAGCTGGAATGGAAAGAATGCAAAGAGGAATTTGGAAGAAAAAAATTTACATCTATGCTAGCTTTATTTGGTGTAGCAAGACATAAAAACGATCCCTGTTCCCCAAAGCTGAAACTTTGGGGGCAGTAATGACACTGATTTGGGATATTGTTGAATACACAGATCATTATGATAGCTTTAAGATACGCAAAAATCAAGAAAGGTAAAACCCACATGGACAGAAACAAATGAAGCTCTCCATGAACACCGATAAGCTGAGCCAGTTGAAACTTGCATGAGTAAGTCAGAAAGGGCTCTGTTCACTGTGTTCCTTGGAAGTGAAATAATGGACCGTAACACAATCTGTTTCAGAACTTCCATGGTGACCTGTGTGATGGTTGAGTGAGCAAATGAGTTCTCCTTGACATTTTCTCTTAAACTATTTGGGACCTAGCTGAAAAAAGGCCTTGAGCAGCATAGGGGATATGGGAAGGGGACCTAAAGAGAAAGGCAGGAACAGGCTGTCAGAATCCAGAGACCCTTGCCTGGGCTATTGACCAAGTGGCTTTGCTCCTTGGGATAGAGACATATTCCTCAGAACTTGGGGAGTGGCAATTTTAGGGACAGGCAATGTTTGGGGAGGGACTGATCAGCAGATAGAGGTTGGGTCCCTTGGAGCACTTTCATGCAGTGTTCTGATCTCATCACAGTGGGGTCATATCCCAGAGGGAGCTGTAATAAGAGGCCAGAAGTCAAGAAAGCCATTCTTGGGACAGTCAGGGGCAGGGTTGCTTTAATAGGGCATTTTCCTGTTTCTGAAGAAAAGACCTATGTAATCAGGACCCACCTCTTTCACAGAAGGCTGAATCAACTGTCATTTGGTCCTTCCACACAAGTTAAGCCTCGGCCTTGCCTATAATAATAAAAGTTGCTTAACTTTTGCAGCTCGCATGCACATTCATACACATTATCTCATTTCATCCGTGGATCAGCCCTGAGATACAGAGAACTTTCTCAAGCAAGAGTGCTGGGACCTAAACTCAGGGTCTGCCGTTACCATGTCCTCCTAGCACATCTTCATCCACTGCTTCCTTCCCGTCCTGTTTCCACTCTGATCTCTTACTTCTGGTCCTCTGGTGCTTCTCTTATCTTTGCCCCGGGAGTATGTCTGTTCTTTTCCTGGCAGACCCATCACTGTGGAGCTTTGCCTACTATCTTGGAACTGTTCATCTTCAGCATCGATTCATCAAACATTCATTGAGTGTCTCCACGGCTGTGAGTTGGGCCCCAGGCACAAGAGATGAATAATTCAGTGACCCGAATCTATGGAATTTGATTCCTTCCTTTTACTCTCAAGCTGGGGCTTGAGTGTAGACCCTCTACCTTTAGACAGTAGCCCTCCTCCCCTTTTCTCAGCACCTTGTCTTGCCCTGTCTGCATCCATTGCTTCTTAGAATCAAGGGCAGTTGAGAAGAGGCTAGAGATTTGTTCCATCTCTCAAGCTGCTCCTTTGCTGATGCGAGAGAATGGAAGATTGTAAGTGAAACTCTGCCCTCCTTTAGACAGGGCAGGGGGTCATGGTATTGAGCAGTAGAGGACCTGGAGTCCCAGCTTTATGTATTCCTAGACCTGGAGGGCAGCTCACTCTCCCCAGCTTAGATCTGGGTGGGAGCCCTCTGCCTCCTGTTGGCTGTCCCTTTAGTGGCAGTCTCCATATCTAGCCCCAGCATCCCTGGGAATTGGTTCTGAGATGAAAGTAGTGACAATTCCTTCAGGTCCAGTTCCCCTTTTGCAGGGGCCTCTCTCGTGCAGCCCTGACCTTCCATCCCTGAGAGTGCATGTGCCCTGTGTTAGGCTATTGCCATATGGCTCTGGCTACAGAGCACTGCCCTGCCAGCCTCCATTGCTTCTTTCTTTGGAGGGGACACAGCATAGGGGTTTCCTGCCCTTCCTGCATCTCCCTGCTGTAGGAAGGAAGTCAGCATCCCTGTCTGACTCTTAACCTTCCCCCAAGAACAGGGAGTCCTCTGCTCCTCCTTCCTCTTGGATCACTTGTTCTCTTGGCGTACCTGGCCCCCAGGGCTGCTGCCTACAGCACTGTCTACCCTGTGTTAGCTTTCCCTGCACTTCCCAGAGGCCTGGGTCAAGTGCATCAATGTGCAACACTTGATTAGATACCAGCCTTGCTCTGAGAAAAGATGGGCACAGCCAGAAACAAGTCATGGCGCTGGAGGGAAAGGGCTATGAGTTCCACCTGGAATGAGGCAGAGCATGTCCCATGGAGAAGTTGCCTGGCTTTGAGGCCGGGTGATGGCAGGGCCGGAAAGTACAAGATATACTTAGGCATCTGGGTGTTCTGACTTTCCTGCCCTGACACACACCCCAGCCCTGCCTGCTCTGTCTACCTGTGTGCTGCTCCTTTTTCTTCCCTGTGGCCCAGCCCCTTTCCTGGAAAGTCTTTGGCTCCTCTCCCTGTCAGACAAGGATAGAGCCCAGTTCCAATTCTTGTTCCAAAATCAACGTTTGGGTTGGCCCTGTCTTGCCTCACACCTTGCACCAGCCAGGCATTTCTGTGACCAAACAGCAACTGGGAGCCTTCTACACGCGAGTGAGAGACAGTCATGGCAGTTTGAAAGGAGATACACAAAAAACTGTCAACTCTTGGGGAAGAGGAAGCTCATTCTGATTGAGGCCTTTCTGTTAACGGTGAGAAACGCTCTAGGAAGGCACATCCGACTCAAACTGTGCTCAGCTGATTCCTGCAGTGTGACCATGGGCGAGTGGCTTCGCCAGCCTACGCCTCTTTTCTCATCTCCAAGACAGGACTCGCCTCACGAGCTTGGTAACGATGAGTGGCTTACATATGCCAGCCTCTGTAGTCTCAGCAGACGGCAGCTATCCTGGCTGCTAATGTGCATGTGCTGGCGAGGTGGAGGATTCCAGTGTTCCAGAGGCACAAGCCCAGTTGTATAAACTGGGAGAGGATGAGTGTCTTGAATGTGACTGCAGAGTGAAAAAGTCTCCTGGGATCAGAGTGAGCAGAACCAAAAGGTCTTGGCTTCATTCATGAGCAGAGCCTCATGAGCCCTGATGTTGGGCCCCACTGCAGGCATCAGGGTTATGGCAGCAAAGAAGACAAGCATGGTCCTTCTCTTAGAGGGCCAAGAGAAGTGAGTATGTCCAAAGTCTGTGACCCTGACTCCTATGATGAGGATAACATGGCAGTGTTCCAGAGAAAGCCTAGAGTTAGGGAAAAGCCCTCTCAGTGGTGACGTTGAGACTCAGTCCCAGATGGAACTGACCCTGGTTCAGGAAGGAGTTTGGTGTGTTCCAGGCTGTTCATACCAGGCCTGCTGGGAAGGCCTCCAGATCAACCACAGATAATAAGCCTATACAGCTGTGCTCAGTTTTCTAAAATCCAGGAGGCATGTGGGAAAGAGGAGTCCTGGAGGCAGATGTACCTGGATTTGATCCTGGCTCAGCCACTTCGAGCCCAGGACTTCACTTCCTGTGCTCCAGAGTCTTTACCTATAAAGTAGGGCTTTGGAGCTTGAGGGAGGTAACATAAACAGAGCTCTTGGCTCCATGCCTGGCATGTGGCATTTCCCTTCTCCTGGCCTTGGGGAGGTGAAAGAGCCCAAGAGCCCCCTGGAAATGGCCTTGCAAGAGCCAAGGTCAAGGCAAAGCTTTGATGTCTATTTGCTTTCCCAGGTTCCCTGGCCTAAGGGGAGAGGAGAGCAGTAAAAGCTGAGACTAATGCACTTGCAAGCCATTGAATTTGGCCTTTCTATGAAGTGTGGAAAGCAACCATTTAGTTAGCAGCCTCTGTAGCTATGCCTCAGGAAACCGTCTTCCAATGACTTCCTGACGGTTTCCGAGAGCCATGGTCTGATGCAAGAAGGACCAATGAAGGGGCTTTTGCAGGCCGAGCCCTGGGGCCTGACCTTGGCAGCTCCTGCTGAGCCTTCCCCAGGGCCTTGCTCATTTTACAGAGGTTACCAAGCCTGGGGTAGGGACCAGCACATTTCTGAGAGAAAAGATGCTCTTGCAGAGGCCCTCCAGGCCACAGGGAGCTGGAGCCCAGGGTCCTGGAGCAAACAGCTTATTTCTTTCCTCTGAAAATCTGCTTGATCTGATCCCCCACTACCATCCGTTTCTGCTCAGCCGGGGGCTTGAGGGTGGGGCACAGTCATTTTTTAAAAAAACCACAGGCCCAGTTTTCTACACAAAGTATTGCTTTGTAAGTTTGTTCTAGACACAAACAGAACAAAGACCAGGAGAAAGGATTCGGTAAGGACACGGTAGCGAGTGGCAGACAGACAGCCGTGGAGATGCTCATGTGTCGGGGTGAAGAGATTCTGATGCTTTGTCAGCACTTGCCCTCTCACCCTCATTTTTTTTTTTATTTTAAATTTTTCCAGTTTTAAAATTGGAATTTAAAAATTTCCATAAAGAAATGTTAACGGAATAAGTGATTTTTCCTTTGCCTGTCCTGGAAAAAAAAGTGATGGACCTATATATCCTTAACCAAGATGCACTGATCTTAACATTTTGCCACATTTGCTTTCCTTCTCTTTATACATATGCACTTTTCTTTTGAAAATAAGTTGTATTGGCTCGGCGCCTATAGCTCAACCGGGTAAGGCACCAGCCATGTACACCTAAGGTGGCGGGTTCGAATCCCCAGCCCGGACCCGCCAAACAACAATGACGGCTGCAACCAAAAAATAGCCGGGTGCTGTGGCGGGCGCCTGTGGTCCCAGCTACTTGGGAGGCAGAGGCAGGAGACTCGCTTGAGCCCAGGAGTTGGAGGTTGCTGTGAGCTGTAATGCCACGGCACTCTACCCAGGGGGACAGCTTGAGGCTCTGTCTCAAAAAAAAAAAAAAAAAGAAAATAAGTTGTATTATTATGTGGCCTAAATTCTTGTCTAATAAATGAGTTATATTATTATATTCCTAAATTCCTCAGCATTAGCTCCTAAGAAGGGAGAGATGCTTTAATGTATTGCTCTGATATAATCACCATGCCTCTGGCTATTTAAGAAAATTCATAGTAATTTCCTGATATGATCAAATATCCGGTCCATATTTGTATTTTCTCATTCAACCCAGAAAAGCCTTGTGTAATTGTGTAATTTTTTTCTCTCAAGCAGGAGCCTTTTGAGTTAAAGCAATGAGGCGGGGGTGGTGGTGGTGGTGGTGGTGGTTTTTTCTTTTTGTATTTTAGTAGAGATGAGATCTCACTCTTGGGTGGTCTTCAAGTCCTGAGCTCAAGGCAAGTCACTCACCTTGCCTTCCCAGAGTGCTAGGACTGCAGGCATGATCTACCATACATTGCCTGCATTGCAGTTGTGGGTTTTTTTTTGTTTGTTTAGCAGGACCTGGCTGGATTCAAACCCACCACCCCCGCGGCATACAGGGCCTGTGCTCTAACCATTGAGCAAGGGCACCCAGCCTGCATTGCAGTTTTTAAATCTTTTGAGCTTCCTTAAACCTAGACCGTCTTCCCACAAACCCATATTTTTGCCCCGTTGCATTCACTTTTCTGATTGTTTCTCATGGTGCAATTTGGCTCATTCCACAATTCTGGCAATGTCTCCAAGCTTGGCTCGATGAACATATTCTACCATTGGGACACTCTCCTGCATCCCCTCTGGGTTACCTGGCACCTGCTCAACTCTAATAGAGATGCTGTATGTTTTACAAGATAGTTTATGTAATATACATAATGTATATACAGAAAAAACTGGAAGGAAAAATGCTAAAATATTAGCAGTGGTGGTCACTTCCTAGGTAGTATTCATTTTCCTCTTTATTCTTCAGTTACTTTTCTTTCTTTCTTTTTTTTTTTTAGAGACAGTTTCATTTTGTTGCCCTCGGTAGAGTGCTGTGGTATCACAGCTCACGGCAACCTCCAACTCCTGGGCTTAGACGATTCTCTTGCCTCAGCCTCCCGAGTAGCTGGGACTACAGGCGCCCACCACACTGCCTGGCCTGGCTATTTTTTTTTTTTTTCAGTTGGCCAGGTCAGGTTCGAACCTGCCACCCTCGGTATAGGGGGCCAGCGCCCTACTCACTGAGCCACAGGCGCCGCCCTATTCTTCAGTACTTTTCTAACTTTACTAAAACTAAGCACATTTTACCTTCATAACTGGGAAAGATTAAAATGTGTAACATGATAGCAATGTTAGAGAGAGTTTAGAAAGTCGTGAAAATAAAGCAAAGCCTAATCCCACTACCTTAACACATATACACTAATAGATCCTCCTGGGCTTTTTGAAGAATGCTTTTTACATAATTCTGTTTGTTTTTTGTTTACATGATCTCCCAAGCACACTTCCAATGTAGTACTTGGACTTTTCGTTGATAACCGTGGACATGTGGGTGAGGAACTGACAAGAGGTAGTGTGTGGTGCAGTTTACTTGTACAAGGCACCCAGCTTGGGAACAAATGAGGCTCAGGGAGGACCTGTGCCCACCCAGTGCACCTGCCTGAAGTTGCACCTTTGTCCTGACTTGCCCAAAGGCAGCCTGCTAATCTATCCACAACTCTTTGGTCACTTCAGCATACCTCATATTAGCACAGCTGCCAGGGTGACTACTGCTGTTGGAGTTGGGCACAGAGGGCTCTGTCCTGGCAGTGAGGCTGGAGACAGCAGTGGGGGCCAGATCATGGGAGGCCCATTTGGTCTCAGTGTAGACAGAGCTGCTGCCTTTGAGCGTTGACCCTGAGGCTGGAGGATTTCTGGTCTTGGCCTCACCTCCTTATCCCCCCACCCCCAGGATGCCTTCCGAGCCTTCCACCCTGACCTCAATTTTGTGCACAAGTTCTTGAAGCCCCTGCTGATTGGTGAGCTGGCCCCGGAGGAACCCAGCCAGGACCGTGGCAAGAATGTGAGTCGGGCCTGCAACCTGGGTGGGGTGGGGACAAGGCCGGGGTGTGCAGACCAGAGTGGCCAGAGCTGGGGCAGAGGTGCTGTTGTCTAGCAGGAACCTCTGCTGATTCAGAGCCTCTGCTGGGAGCTGGGGCTTGATGACAGTGACACCCCCTTACTCTTGGCTGGATTTATTTTCCTCCTCCTTCCCTTTCCAGAAAGGTACCAGGTGTTGGTCCCTTACATGACAATGTAGGAGAAAGACTGTGGAGACACAAAACAAAAGACTGTCAGAAAAAACAAACAAACAAAAACCCAAAAGACTATCAGATAATGACAAGTGTGGCCACTTCATGGTGCATGGTCTGGGAGCACTTGTTTGCGAAGGAATGACCATTATGTCATCATTTGTTTATCTCTGTTATGGGTCAGACACCCTGCTGGATGCTGGGCTTCAAGGATAGAAATATGTAAGGATCACAGCACCTGAGGTCTCATAGCGCTGTTAGGTTCTGCAGTGAAGTGGTTCGTGTACCAGACCCCACGTAAGCGACAGGGCAGTGTACCATGTGCTTCACTGGTCTCCACTGTCCCCTCCATCCCAGCCTTCTCCAGCCCATGTCACCCTTCCCCAAAAGCCTGATCGTACCCTGGTCCTCAGCCCTGTTCCTTCCCCAAGCCTGTCTGGCCTGGGCTTGTTCTGGGCAGGGTGTTCATGTCTGCACCACACCCTCTGTCACCCGTGTAGGCCTGGGTGCCAGCAAGGAGGCTGGTTCATTTACTTATTCTGCTCTTGGACCCCTGTGGCTCTGGCTTACCCCATGGCAATGGTTCTTTCTGAGCTTCCCACCTCTCACTGCTGTCCAGGATATTACATTCCCCTGGGGAAGCCAGACCCTGGCCACAGCAGAGCCAGGCTGGGTGTGGGTCTTTTCTGGCTGGACTCCTGGCTAGCCCACCACTGCATCTACCTTTCCGACAAGATACAGGTGCCAGCGTGTCCTCTGGTGGCCTGTCTCCACTTCCTGTCATCCCTCTGCCCCTCTTCTCACCTTTCCCTCCTCGCCTTCCCCCTGCCGGTGCTGCCCTGCACTTGTCTCCTCCTGCCTGCTTTCAACAGGGCTTCCAGGCCTCCCTCTGCTACATCCTTTTCAGCTCTGTAGATTCTGCACTGCTTGGCACTCAGGCCCCCAAAGCCAGCTTTCTCTACCCACGTGCCACCAGAACCACCCTTGAAAGCACCTGTCCTATCCCAGTGGGTACCTGTAGTCTCCCGTCTCCAGTTTCCTCCCCTGCCTGCCTGGCCCTGACTGCCTCCTGTTCCAGAGTCCTTCATCCTCCCAGATATGTTATCTGTTCCCGAGCCACCATGTTCCCTTGACTCTAACTCTGCCTCCCGGGCTTCATATGCCTGGGGCTCGCCTGGCCCCCTTCTGCCTTCTGCAGCTTTTTTTTTTTTTCCAGTTTTTGGCCAGGGCTGGGCTTGAACCCACCACCTCCGGCATATGGGGCCAGCACCCTACTCCTTTGAGCCACAGGCGCCGCCCCAAGCCTTCTGCAGCTTTCTGGGGCGGGAACTCCAACCTGCACCAGTTGGTGCCTGGAACAAGCAGCAGTATCAGGTGGTGGAAAATGCAAGCTTTCTTTGTTTAAGGTGTTGTAAAATAGAGATATACATAACTTAAACTTTACCATTATAATTATATTTAAGTGCACAGTTCAGTGGCTTTAAATATAATACTTTCATATTGTTGTACAACCATCTACTTCCTGAAAGATTTTGTCACCCCAAACCGAAACTGTCCCCATTAGGCATGAATTCTGGCAACCAGAGTCTTCCTATCTCGAGTTGGGCTATGCTGGAGAGCTCACGTAAGTGGGATCACGCAGCATTTGCCCTTTTGTGACTGGCTTATTTTACTTTGCATAATGTAGCATGTGTTAGAATTTCCTTCCTTTTGAAGGCTGAATGATATTCCATTGTATGTGTACCACATTTTGTTTATCCATCCATCCATCAAGAGAAAATTGGGTCATTTCTACTTTTTGCCTATTGTGAATAATGCTGCTCTGAGCAGGGTTGTATAAAATGAAAGATTTTCATTCAAATCCTTTCTCTACCACTTAACTAGCTGTGGACAAATACACAGGCTCCAAGAATGTGCCAGACACGTGGTAACGACTGCCGTAGTCATGCGTGGTGGCCGGGTTCCTGCAGGGTCGAGGCCCGTGGGTTGGCCCTCTCTTACCACAGCTTCTATGGGGTGTACGGTGGGCATTGAGAAGACGGCTCCAGCCGTCTGTCCTCCTCCAGAGGGGCTGTGTGGCCAATCTCCTTCCCTGTGCTCTTGCTCAACAGTCTCAGCTCACTGAGGACTTCCGGGCCCTGAGGAAGACTGCCGAGGACATGAATCTGTTCAAGCCTAACCACCTGTTCTTCCTCCTCCTCCTGGCCCACATCATCGCCCTTGAGAGCATTGCGTGGTTCACCATCTTCTACTATGGCAATGGCTGGATCCCCACCCTTGTCACAGCCTTTGTCCTTGCTACCTCTCAGGTGAGGCATGACCTACTCACCTGTCGCTTGAGACCCCGCACCCTCACCTGCCCCACCTCACAGAGACCCGGTGCCTATCTCCCAATGCTGTGATCACATGTGTGACTCTCTCCTCAGGCCCAGGCTGGATGGCTGCAACATGATTATGGCCATCTTTCTGTCTACAAGAAGTCCATGTGGAACCACATTGTCCACAAGTTCGTCATTGGCCACTTAAAGGTAAACGTCAGCAGCCTTGGGCTTCTGTCCTGTCGGTCAGCAGTGGGTGCAGTGTGATCACATGTTCTCTGGGGCCAGGACTCCTTTCTGGTGCTCTGTGACTCCGGGTGACAAGGCAGGTCTGCCCATGAGCAGTGTCTTCTAGCGGCATGGGCCATGTTATGGGGCATGCAGGCCTCTGTTCCTCTGACTTCTGGGGCCCTGTCTCTGTATAGGGTCAGACCCACAAAACCATGACATACTAATTACAGAGACAAGCACACACCCTTTTAATCTACTGGCTAAGGGCATTCTATTGTTTATCGCTCTTTAACTAAAGACTTTTCTAATAAATTCCTTTCCATTTGGGGCCAGTAAAGTAGCAGCATCTCTGGGTGAGTTGTACTTCCTTTCCCTGGGGTGTGAGCCCTCTAATACCTTGCGTTCCTCTTTTTGTCCCTTGGGTGCCAGGAAGTGCAAAGCAACATTTGAAACAGCAACTATCCTTAGTTTGCGTTTTTGGTATACTCATTTCCAACCCTTCTCATGTCATTTACACTTTTATCTGTATTTTAAAGCTTCTGTTATATCCGAGTCCTTTGTCTGAAGCCATCTCAAATGCTCTTTGGAAGTATGTGGGGGGTGAAAAGTAGAAAATGTCATCATATAAGGCCTTTGTTAAGAGACATCAAACTACTTGATGGTCAGCTGAGCCAAAGACGAAAGTTATTTAAAGCACCGAAGGTCAGGCAATTCTACTGTCACTGCTTTCCAGATGATGAGGCAGACCCACAGAAGCTCAGCAAGTTTATAAAAATACGAGCTGGAGTTGCCAGTGGCCTTAGGCTGACCTGGTAGGTGCCATCTTCTGGATTTCAGAAATAAGCTCTCAATAATTTTCTCTCTGGGCTGGGTGCCTGTGGCTCAAGCAACTGAGATACCAGCCACATACACCTGAGCTGGTGGGTTTGAATCCAGCCTGGGCCTACCGAACAAAAATGATGGCTGCAACCAGAAAATAGCTGGGCATTGTGGTGGGTGCCTGTAGTCCCAGCTACTTGGGAGGCTTGAGCCCAAGAGTTGGAGGTTGCTGTGAGCTGTGATGCTATGGCACTCTACCCAGGGTGACGCTTGAGGCTCTGTCTCAAAAAAAAATTCTCTCTGAATCAGGCAATCTCTTCCCCAGCAGAGTCTAACTGATTCCCCAAAAAGGCTGGGTCCTAATGAATTCATCCTGCCCCACCCTGGGTTAAGCTTATACACTTGGCTTGCTAGCTACAGTTCACCAACTCCACAGCAAGCATTTGGCCTGGCCCTGAGCCTGAAGTGGCCTGAGAATCTGGTCTTTTTCCAGAATCTTAGGGTGAAGGGAGAGTTACGCATAGTAGAGCGCTTTGTTTTGTTTTATGCTCTTTTCTTTTGGATAAAGCCTTCTCAGTCGAGAGTAACATTTTACTCTCGACCCATGTTATCCTCACGTCCTTAACAAAAAAGAGCTATGTTCTGTTTCTAGATTCTGGGCAGGGGCTGGGGGCCCTTTCTTGCCCCATGACCCTCAGTTCCTAAAAGGCTTTGGAGCACAGCTCCCGTGTCAGCTGGAAGATGAGGCAGGACAGAGGACTGGCCCCTAGGAAGATATGGATGACGGCAAACAGGGTTCTTGGGTTTGGGGACATGGGCTCCAGGAATGTCTCAGCAGCCCTTCCGGCCATGTCCTTGGTGCTGGGTCATAGAGCCAAGCCAGTGGCATAACCATATGGTGACTCAGGTGCCCCAGAGTGAGGAGGTCACAGCTTACCTGAAATCTACCCAAAGTGGGTGAGTCTTTTAGTCTCATCTGCCTCTGTTCCCTTTGCTGGGGAGTAAAGTGTTAGCTACAGGGAGGTCCTCAGGACCCACTTCTCACTGTCCACCTTCACTGCTGTCACTGCCGTGGGATTTCATGGGTGTTCTCCACACCCTGACCTTCCATTTGCTTCCTCTCATGTTACATTTGGTGGACACTTCTCCAGAGGGGGCTTTTTGCAAAAACAGTCCTGAGCTTAAAACCCTTTCATTGTTCAGCATTCCATTTAGGATGAAATGCAAACTTAAGGGCCAGTGCCATCTAGATGCTGCATCTGGAGATGGCACTCTCCAGCCTTCCTGCAGCCTCATTGCAGGCCAGCAGGGCTGGGATTGAGGGGCCAGGAAGGCACTTACGCAGGATTCACAATTTAAGGGGACACTATACAAACTCAGTAATCAAGATAAATAATGTTTAAGTGCAGTATTTTTTGTTTTTATGTATATTTTAACCTAAATCCGAGACCTCTATACCTCAGTTCCCAATCTTTTTGGCATCAGAAAGCGGTTCCATGGAAGACAATTTTTTTTTGGAGGGGGGGAAGAATCTCTCTCTGCCACCCTGAGTAGAGAGTGCTATGGCGTCATTGTAGCTCACAACAACCTCAAACTCATGGGCTCAAGTGATCCTCTTGCCTCAGCCTCCCAAGTAACTGGGACTACAGGTGCCTGCCACAATGGCCGGCTAGTTTTTCTACTTATAGTAGAGATGGGTCTCACTCTTGCTCAGGCTGGTCTCGAACTCTAGCTCAAGCAGTCCACTTGCTTTGGCCTCCCAGAGTGTTAGGATTACAAGCATGAGCCACCACACCTGTCCAGGAAGACAATTTTTCTATGGATCAATGGATGGGAGAATGATTTTGGGATGATTCAAGGAAGACAGTTTTTCCACAGACCAGGGGGTGGGGAGATGGCTTTGGGATGATTCAAGCACATTACATTTACTGTGCACTTTATTTCTATTCTTATTACGTGGTAATATATAATGTAATAATTATGCAACTCACTATAATGCAGATGCAGCTTAATTGTCACTTGCCACTCACTGATAAGGTTTTGACAGGATTCTTCAAGGGATTGATTATCATGTTCTCTGTGCAGTCGAACCTCCCCACTAATGATAACCTATATTTGCAGCTGCTCCCCAGAGCTAGCATCTCTGCCTCAGCTCCACCACAGATGATCAGGCATTAGGTTTTTGTAAGGAGCCCACAACCTAGATCCCTCCCAGGCACAGTTTATAGCAGTGGTTCTCGACCTGTGGGTCATGACCCACAGGAACTATATTAAAGGGTTGTGGCATTAGGAAGGTTGAGAACCACTGTTCTACAGCATGGTTCCTGCTTCTATGAGAATCTAAGGCCCTCACTGATCCGGTAGTAGGTGGAGCTCAGGCAGTGATGTGAGCAGTGGGGAGCGGCTGTAAACACAGATGATGTTTCACTTGCTTGCTGCTCACCTCCTGCTGTGCAGCCCGGTTCCTAATGAGCTACAGACCTCGACCACTCCTCAGCGCAGGGATTGAAGACTGAAGCTCTCTATGTAATTGCCATATATTTAAAAAATATATAAATTAATTAAAATGTTGAAAATCAAAAATTGTCAAAATTTTAAATAAAGGTCAGGGCTGACCTGAGGTAAATGGACAGACATGCACCCCTGTACATGTGTTAGTGTGTCACGTTTTTCATGGTTGATGGTGTTTCTCCCCCAAACCTTGAGATGTCAGAGTTATAACCACCTAGATTTAAATATTCTATTTATCCCCAAAGAGAATTTATTATATTTTTACTTCAGTTTAAGGTAATTAAAAATTATTTAAGCTCATCACTTGGTTGACAGAAATCATCGTAGGTGGCAGGTCTCTGAACTGGAAATGAGATCCATTGAAAAGGAGATTTTGAAAATGATTTTTTTGATGAGCTGCTTCCATTAAAGCCGGGAGTGCACATTTCTCCTTTTTTTCTCAGGCTCTGAGATGGTACCACCCAGCACTGCTGCTAGTCAAGGTCCTGTGGGGAAGTGTTCCTTTCACTTCTGGAACATTCCACATTTCCCCTTTTCCTCCTGGGGCCTTCACCTGGGTCCTCCCTTCTGTCAGAAAAGCATGCACCACTCTGCCTGGCCAACTTCTCTAGCTCCTGGACACATCTTCCTCTTGGTCCCATCTCAGCGTGGTGACATGGAGCTGCCCAAGGAGCTCTCTGGGGGTGAGGGCTTTGTTCCTTGGTTCATCATTTCCCCTTCAGGGCCAAACACAGCAGCTGGTTCAACCTGTTCTGGGGACGTTGTGGTTGTGCAGCATGGAGGGCTTTGGGGTGCCCTGGAGGAGGGTTTCTGACAGATAAGGAGGGCTTCAGCTTAGTGAAGAAGGGTGGAAGAAGATCCTAGCAGAGGAGCAGCAGGAACAAAAAGTGTTTTTGTTACCTCTCATCCTAAGTCCAGGGAGAGCCAGGACTGCCCCATCTCCCTGACTTTGCTCATGGCCCATCTTTCTTTCCCCTATTTATTCATTCAACAAGAGTCTCTTGGTCGTTACGTTCTAGATATCGTGCTTACTTATAAAATGCCTCATCCCTCAACTTCTTTGTACCAGAGACTTACCTATTTGATTCTTCCCAGGACTTTGGTGACTTTTGGCTACAAATGCCAGTGTGTTCTCTAATCCCTCCAACCTCTAAGCTCTCACCCTCTGACTTTTTTGTTTTTTTGTCTGATGGGTTTTGAGTTGAGGCCTGCAAAGACCACAGTTGTCCATTGCCGTCCCCGCCCATGGCTCTCAGTGTCCAGAGACTGTGTCTGTGCCAAAAGCATCTTCCAAGTAAAATGTTTATTTAGCAAATAGGCCTTTGTAGATGGATAGACTCTTAGCCAAAGCATTGACCTGACAAGAGTTCACCAGCATAGTCCTAATGCTGAAGGGTCAGAAAAAAGCCATCCATGTGTCACCAGGTGACTTTGTTGAGGGCTGTGAATCTACAGAATGTCAGGAGCTTGAGCTAATGAGACAGAAATTGGTGACCTCAAACTAAACACCATGTTATGCTTCCCGTCTCATGGAATCATGATATTTTTTTTCTTAGAACCAGGAAAGCCCCTCCTGGTTCATGTTAACAACTGTTTATTAAGTCCTCCCCTTCCAGGTGTGACAAGGATCTCAGTATTCACCACTCAACATAGTAGCATGTCTGATCTCTCCAAGAACAGGGGCAACTTGTGTGGTCTTGTTAATTTTTTTTAAAAAGCTTGAGATATTATAATTCACGTACAATTTGTCCACTTAAAGTGTACAAATCAATGACTTTTTGCACATTCAGGGATTTATACGTCTATCTTCACAATGAATATTAAAGCATCTTCATTACTCTCAAAAGAAACCCTATACCTCTTAACCATCATAGCCCAAACCCCTCATTTCTTCCCCTGCCCTCAGCCCCAGCCCTGTGTGCCCAGTATTCTTTCCATTTCCAGAGATTTCCGGATTCTGGACATTTCATATCAGTGGAATCATGTGACATGAGATCTTTTGTTTCTGGCTTCTTTTACTTGGCATAATGTTTTAAAGGTCATTCCTATAGCACATGTCAGTAATTCATTCCATTTTGTGGCATGGCCAAACAATATTTCATTGCATGCACATGCTACCTTTATTTATCCATTCATCTGTTTATAGACATTGGGTTGTTTCGACTTTTTAGTTATTTTTTAAAATGCTGCTCTGGGCTCGGCACCTGTGGCTCAAGCGGCTAAGGCACCAGCCACATATACCTAAGGTGGCAGGTTCGAATCCAGCCCGGGCCCGCCAAAACAACAATGACGACTGCAACCAAAAAATAGCCAGGCGCTGTGGCGGGCGCCTGTGCTTCCAGCTACTTGGGAGGCGGAGGCAAGAGACTCGCTTGAAAGTCCAGGAGTTGGAGGTTGATATGAGCTGTGATGCCATGGCACTCTACCCAGGGAGATAGCTTGAGGCTCTGTCTTAAAAAAAAAAAATGCTTCTCTGAACAGTTGTATATAAATTTTTTTTTTTTTGGAGACAGAGCCTCAAGCTGTTTCCCTGGGTAGAGTGCTGTGGCATCACAGCTCACAGCAACCTCCAACTCCTGGGCTCAGGCAAATCTCCTGCCTCAGTCTCCCAAGTAGCTGGGATCATAGGTGCCCACCACAATGCCCGGCTATTTTTTGGTTGCAGCCATCATTGTTGTTTGGCAGGCCCGGGCTGGATTCGATCCTGCCACCTTAGGTGTATGTGGCTGGCACCTTAGCCGCTTGAGCCACAGGTGCTGAGCCAGTCGTATATAAATTTTTATGCGGATGTGTTTTCATTTCCCTTGGGTGTACACATGTGCTATTTAAAAATTAGCTGGGTCACATCTTTACCTTGCGCAACACTGGCACACAGAGGTGTGTGGTGGATGAGTGGGTGTGGAAGGCTTCATTCCTAGTGTTGGTGGAAAGGCAGAGACCACCGCCCACACCAGCATCTTCATCCACCATCATCTTATGTTGGGAAAACTAAGGCGTGGTGGGATGAAGTGACTTCATTCCATTTGGGGCCGGCCCAGTGCTCTGGGCTCAATAGTAGCAGGGCTGTACTCTGACTTTTGTGGAGTCCAAGGCACTGTCGAGGGTTGGAAGTACTAGGAACTGGTCCTGAATGGGGCCTGTGGCAGGCAAGTCAAGGTCCCTGTTGGACCACATTGCTCACTCCAACCCCTCTCCCTCCACAGGGTGCTTCAGCCAACTGGTGGAACCATCGCCACTTCCAGCATCATGCCAAGCCCAACATCTTCCAGAAGGATCCAGATGTGAACATGCTGCACGTGTTTGTCCTGGGCGAATGGCAGCCCATTGAGGTATGACTCAGGGGGATGGTTGCCCTAGCAAGTGTTTGGCCTGAGCTGGGAGCAGGTAAGGAGTCCTGTAGGGTTGACATTCAGCCAGGCACATCCACACCTGATGTTATTTGGAAAACCTTTCTTAGGCACTGTGTGTAAATACCGGACATACATCGTTATCAGTGTCTCCTGTAGGCTGGGGGAGAGCATTCTCTGGCTGGTTTCTCCCCAGGGCAGGGGGAATTGGGTTCCAGTTTACAGGAAGGCAGGACTCCAAGCTTGGTTCCCAGTGGGCAGGTTCACATCAAAGAAACCTTATTTAAAGCATCATAGTCCTTTACACTGGGAGGAACCTCAGCACGGCCTGGTGCAACCTGCTTCACCAATAGGTGAACAATTGAGTCTCAGCAAGAGAATGGAACACATTCAGGGTCATGATACTTATGGTCAGTTTAGGATGACGCCCCAGATCTTTTAACTAGTAGGCCATTTCCTTCCCCATACCACACCGTCTTATTTTTACATTACTTTATGGTTTTCCTACAAGTATAGGACACTCTTGCTATAAATATTTTAGTGTAAAAATATACGGAATTAAAAAGTGAGTTGGTCTGGCTCGGTGCCTGTGGCTCAAGGGGCCAGCCACATACACCTGAGCTGGCGAGTTTGAATCCAGCCTGGGCCTGCCAAACAACAATGACAGCTGCAACCAAAAAATAGCTGGGTGTTGTGGCAGGCACCTGTAATCCCAGCTACTTGGGAGGCAGAGGCAGGAGAATCGCCTGAGCTCAGGAGTTGGAGATTGCTTTAAGCTGTGATGCCATGGCACTCTACCCAGGATAACAGCTTGAGGCTCTGCCTCAAAAAAAAAAAAAAAAAAGCGAGTTGTTCAGCTCGGCACCCATAGCACAGTGGTTGTGGCGCTGGCTGCATATGCCAAGGCTGGTGGGTTCAAACCCAGCCTGGGCCAGGTAAGCAACAACAACAACTGCAACAGAAAAATAGCCAGGTGTTATGGCGTGCGCCTATAGTCCGAGCTACTTGGGAGGCTGAGGCAAGAGAATCACTTGAGTCCAAGAGTTTGAAGTTGCTGTGAGTTGTGATGCCACAGCACTCTACTGAGGGTGACATAGTGAGACTGTATCCAAAAAAAAAAAAGAAGTGAGTTGGTCATTATGTTCACCCCTACTCTGCCTCAATTTTTTTTTTTTTTTTGAGATGGAGCCTCAAGCTATCCCCCTGGGTAGAGTGCCATGGCATCACGCTCATAGCAACCTCCAACTCCTGGGCTCAAGCGAGTCTCCTGCCTCAGCCGCCCAAGTAGCTGGGACTACAGGCGCCTGCCACAACGCCCGGCCATTTTTTGGTTGTAGCCATCATTGTTGTTTGGAGGGCCAGGGCTGGGGATTCGAACCCGCCACCTTAGGTGTATGTGGCTGGCACCTTAGCCACTTGAGCCACAGGTGCTGAGCCCTCTGCCTCAATTTTTATGCCTTTGAGGGTGACCACTGTGAACAAGATGCTATATATATATGTGTGTGTGTATGTATATCTCCTTCCAGATATTTTTTATGTGTGTATAAATACACACAGAGCTGTTTTTTTCTTTTCTTTTCTTTTTTCTTTTTCTTTTTTTTTTTTTTTGCAGTTTTTGGCCGGGGCTGGGTTTGATCCCGCCACCTCTGGCATATGGGGCCAGCGCCCTACTCCTTTGAGCCACAGGCACCACCCAGAGCTGTTTCTTTACAAACAAAAATTCTAAAAAATTATACCTTCTCTGCTGAAACTTGCCACCTCTCCAAATGTGGACCCCTTTCCCAGAGACCAAGTGGATCCGTTTCATCCTTCTCAGTGGCTATACAGTAATCTGTGGAATTTCTTAACCTTAACATAACCTACATTATTTTACAAGGCAAGAAAATTTGGTGTTATTAATTATTCATTTCTTTTGAGTGAGATCACCTCCAAAGCATTTTAAAAACACCCTTTTGTTTCTGTTTGTTTTTGAGACAGTCTTACTCTATTATCCAGGCTAGAGTACCATGGTGTCATAGCTCACAGTAACCTCAAATTCTTGGGCTCAAGTAATCCTCTTGCCTCAGCCTCCTAAGTAGCTGGGACTGTAGGTGCTCACCACAATGCCCAACTAGTTTTTCTATTTTTAGTAGAGATGGGGCCTCACTTTTGCTCAGGCTGGTCTCAAACTCCTGAGCTCAAGCAATCCACCCACATTGGCCCCCAGAGTGCTAGAATTACAGATGTGAGCCACCTCACCTGGCCTAGAATGTCCTTATTTAACACTTTCTTTTTTTTTTTTTTGAGACAGAGTCTCACTTTGTTGCCCAGGCTAGAGTGCTGTAGTATCATAGCTCACAGCAACCTCAAACTCTTGGGCTCAAGTGATCCTCTTGCCTCAGCCTCCTGAGTAGCTGGGACTACAGCTGCCACAATGCCCAGCCACTTTTTAGAGACAAGGGTCTTACTCTTGCTCAGGCTGGTCTTGAACTCCTGAGTTCAAGCAATCCACATGCCTTGGCCTCCCAGAGTGGTAGAATTATAGGCGTGAGACACCATGCCCCGCCAAGGGTTTAATTTTAAAAAGCAAATTTACATATGCTGTTTGGGGGGAAATACATTGATGATGTAAACTAAAGTTTAGAAGATTTGTCACTTTTGTGCCGATCTTGAACTCACATCACTGTGCACAGCTTAGGGTTCGATACAGATTTGCCAAGTGAGGTAAATTGACCCTCAGCAAGGAGCAGCTTTATGAATGAAATAGTTCTCCCCACAGTATTGGCATCTGAGGCTTGGAACAGGGAGAGGAGAGAGCCTGGTCCCCCAATTCTGGTTTGTACCCCACCACACACACACCCTGTTTCATTTCTACCCAAGAGAGTATCTGGCAGAGACATGGGTTTTCTGTGTCATAGCCAGTTCACAGGGAACTAGCCAATTCTGTACTATGGAAGTAGGCCTATCTGGCCTGGCAGAGATATTATTTTCTGCCATTAAATACATGCTTTTGTTTTCTTCTAGGAAACAGTTTTCTAGCTTTGATGCTTAGAGGTGTCTTAAGAGTAGAACTGATGAACTTGGGGCCTCTGATAAGGGAAGAGAAAGGCCTCCCATTGTCGGTGTGGCTTGGTATAGTGCCACTGGCCGGCTGTCCTGATAGATGTTCTGTGTCTCTAACAAAGAAAATCTAGTCCCACCAGCTGTGCTGGCAAGGAAACTTCTTTCCTCTCAGCATGGCAGTCAGCAAAACTTCTTCCCACATTTCCTTGCCCCAACATTTCTCAAATGCCGGGGCAGGGATGAGGCGAGAGGCTACAGAGATCTGGCTGTCCAGTTGCTGATAGTGTTTGGAAGACAGGGCCAGCGCCACAGTGTTCTCCTCTCCCACACTCATGGGAGGACAGGGCCAGTGTTTCCTGGGTTCCTGGTTGAACTGTGCCCCAGAGCCCACAAGGCCATGCTGACCTGGAGGGAATTCTGGTATTTTGACTGAGATGACAGTGGGTCCGATGGCACTTGTCTCATGCCAGGGCCACCCACCTGACCCTAGGCGGCCAGGCCTCAGAGTCTCGAGCCACCATCTCACCCTCCAGAGCAAGGTTGCCTGCCAAGGCTCTTATCTCCAGGCACAGCTAATCAAAGCCGTTCAGCCAGGTGGCTGCAAAGAGCTGCCCAGCACCAGGGGCTGTGGGTGACGAGCCTGGCAGGAAATCCCTTTTCCTGTTACACTTTCTGCCTTTTGGTCTTATTTATGACATCCAGGAGGATTTATTTTTGTTTTATGCAGCAACAGGTATTCACTTTACCACCTGGATATTCATTTCTTTTATGCCTAGGGAGTACTTCATATGTGTTGTAATTTTTTCAAGTTTCAAGTTTGAATATTTAACTGTTGCCCAGCGGTATTTGGGTGAGATAATTTTCTTTTCTTTTCTTTTTTGTTTTTGAGACAACAGTCTCACTCAGTTGCCCTGGGGTTGAGTGCGGTGGCATCATAGCTCACAGCAATTCCAAACTCTTGGGTTCAAGAGATCCTCTTGCCTCAACCTCCCTAGTGCTGGAACTACAGGCATCTGCCACAATGCCTGGCTTTTTTTTTTTTTAGAGATAGGGTCTCATGCTTGCTCAGTCTGGTCTCAACTCCTGAGCTCAAGCAACCCACCTGCCTTGGCCTCACAAAGTGCTAAGATTACAGGTGTGAGCCACCGTGCCCGGCCAGATGAGATGATTTTCTGCCTTCATATTTTTCCAGAGCCAACCAGTTTTCCCAGCACCACTGGCGGGGGTGTGTGGGGGGAGGTGGTGTCCTGTCACTCATCCTGTGTGCTGCAGTGAGCTCTCCCAAGCCTGGGTCAAGGTTGGGCTGTCTGTCCTCTCCCAGGCCAGCGTTTGGGAGTCACATTCATCTGTCCTTGGCACGTTACTCATTGTAAACTTGTCATGGATTGACCTTCCCCTTCTGAAACGAATTTACGTCACTTCATTCAGCCTTCCCTTTGTCCCCACTACCCAAGTTTCCTTTTTTTCTCTTGATAAGGTTTTATTCCTTTCTTGACAGTCTCATGGATGTTTCCCTTTTAAATTTAACCTATGTTTCATCTTTTTGTCGCCATGAATGGGGGTTGGGGTTTCTCTGTTGTTGGGGAAAGCCGTTGGTACTTGGCCAGGTATCTTATGTCTTTCCACTGTCCACTTAGGTCTCTTCATGATCTGAGTTGGGTTTTGGATGATTCTTTTCTGTTTCCCGGGTACATGATGATAACCTTGAAAATGATGAAAATTTAGACTCTTTCTAATGGCCCCTTTCTGCTCTTTCTGCTCTGGGTTTTACTACCCTGAGGGAGCTTTCAGACCTGGATTAAACAGCAGTGACAGCAGTGGCGGTCTTGCTTCACTCACCCTTTTTTTTGCTGTATTATTGAGGGGAACAGTGAAGCAGTTCCCTGTAGCACCGTAAATGGGTCCTCGGAAGCCAGAGTCTCTCCACCTCCCTGCCTGACATCCTCCTCCTCCTATCTGGAAAGCTGTCCTTAGCCTCTGCCTGTCTGCAGTGCACCCCACCCCACCCCTGCCTTCCTGCTTCAGGCAGATCTTCACGAACAGGCCAAAGTGACCATTCTCCCCTGGGAACACTCACGCCCTTCTCCCAGGGACCTTGGACTAGAACGTTGCCGTTCTGTCCAGGCTGCTAATGCTGCCTTGCTCATTTCTCTCAGTGTGCGAATTTGCAGGTTCCCAGAGGCAGAGACTGGGCTTTGTGACAGCAGCCCTTCCCCCAGCCCTGGACAGACAAGGAAGGCCCTTGTCATTCCTTAGACATTTTGTTCCAAAGCTGAAAAATCCCCTCCACATGGCCCTGGCACTCTGCCAGGCCCTCATCCAAGCCTGGCCTCGCAGTCCGTGGAGAAGGGGGTCAGCCGGGCCACCACGGCTGGCAGCACTCCCTCCCTCTGCCCTTGGCCAGCATCCCCAGCTATCAGCCTTGGCTTGGGAACGCTATGTCCCTGTTTAAGGCAAGCCCTGTGTGTGCCACCATCTCCTTCTCAGGATCTGGCCACAGCAAGCCACCCACACCTTTGCTTACTGCCCACCTGGTGAAAGTATTATTCGTTAACCCTCCATTGGCCCTGCCTGGGGGCTTATGTTGAGAGTGAGAGGGCTCCCCTGGCCAGGAGGAGACATGCAGGCCCGCGGCCCCCAGTTGGAAGGAAGCCAGCGTCTTGCTGCGTGAGTCTGTAGGCCCAGCTTTGTGATGAACACCGTGCACGTGCCGCTTAGCCCTCGCCTGACCTGTGAGGCAGGAGCTATTGTGGATGGAACAACTAAGGCCAAGGGAATCGAAAGAGCTCACTCAAGTTTATGGCTAGAAAAAGGTGGTTCCAGCATCGAAACCAAGACCTTCTGGCTCCAAGCTGCCCTGGGGACCCTGCCCAGGGCCACCACCTGGCCGGCACTTGGGAAAAGTGTTTGTTGGGTTGCTGCAGCTCTCTGATGAGGCACGAACCCGGGTGCTCATCCTCCTAGCTTAGCACCTTCTGATGTACCTCTCCCCAGCCCTTCCCTGCTCCCATGGCTTTGGTGCTGGCAAAGAACTGAGCATGTGAAAAATGAGAGCAGAGAGTTAGCCACAGAGCAGGGCTGGGCATCTCCAAAACACACAGTGGTACTTTTAGGTTTTGTAGAGATGTGCTGCGGTCAGCCAGGCCCTGGAGACCACCTAGCAGCCGCCCTGTCTGAGGCCACTGAGATGGCAACGGAGTGTGTCAGCGTGTTGCCACTCACACACACACACACACACACACACACGTATGATAGAGACTAACAGTTCAGTGCTTTTGTATCTGTTGATCCCTCACAACACTGTGAAGTACATATTATGCCTTCATTTTGCAGCAAGGAACTCAAAGCTCAAATAACAAATTGTTTCCATATCCCAAACCCCTGCATCCCCAAAGCTGGGAGCCCTCAGAGGCTCATTCTGAGGCCTGCCACTGCCTCGTGGCCAGGGTCCCCTTGGCTCCCAGGGGACAGTCTGGGACACAGTTAGAGCCAGCCGGGCTTACCTACTGGGGACAGCTGGGGAGCTATCATCTCTGTTCGCCTCCCCAAGGCCACCGTAAGCAATGAGAACAGTGTACAACATCAATGACCTTCCAGGTCCTCCCCCACCCCCACAGCAGTATGGCCAGCCTGCAGTTCCTCCATAGGAACCCTCTGGCCACTGCCCACCTACCTGGACTGCCCTTGGTGCTTATGCCCTGGGCAGAGCCAAAGCAAGCCCCAGAGGGGTGGCAAAGATGTGATGAGGAAGACTCTGGCCAGAGCTGGAGAAGCTGTGCACAGACTCTGGGCTCCCTAGAACCATGAGTCCCTGCAGGCGCACCAATGCTGAGCCCTCCAGGCCTTCTGTTCACTGGGAACTCATCAAAGGCTCCCTTAGAGGCCTCCCTAGCTCAGACCCCTCCCAGGCCGGCACGGCTCTGGCGGTAATGATAGTCCTCTTGCAGATGGTTGTGTTTTCTGGGAATGCCAAGCTCAGGAGGTGGCTCAGAATAAAGGGATGGTTTTTCGTGGTGCTTCTGCTGGGTGTGCTATGTCCATGCCCATTGTGTCAAGATGCAGGTCCTGGGGCCAGGCTGGACTTTGTTCCCACCCACAACCTCTGCCTTTTGGGAGTCCATGGGGAGTCCATGGGGCTCCCCAGTGATTTTTTCTCATCGTCTGTTTTTAGCTTCCAGGAATACCATGTAGTTTTGCCAATCACTTCTCTCTCTGGGTTTTCATCTAGACAATGGGGGCGTTGGTCTAGATGGCATCCAAGGTTCTCCCAGCTGTAACTCACCGTGATCTGACTACAATGAGTGGGACTGGACACTATCAGAGGGGGAAGCTCTAGCCTTTGGATGGGGGTGGGGCACGGGGGCAGTGCCCTGGCGGCAGCGCTTGGTATCTGTGCCCATGTTCCCAATCGCTGCTCTTACCAGCCAGTGATCTGAGGGCTGGACAAGGCTCAAGAAGCCAAGCCACCAGTCAGGGTCTTGGTGCTGTGAGCAGCAGAGTCAAGTCAAACTCTTCTGTTGGCTCCAAGCCCAGGTTCCCATATGGCCCCTGGCATTGCAAGCAAGGGGAGCTCATGTCATTCAGCAAGTGGTCTCTTTTGGTCTCAGTCCTTGAGGAGCAGGGTGGGCTGGTTGCTAGGGTCTGGACCTGGGACTGAAGGGGTCCAAGGATCCCCTGAGGCTATGGCTCCCATTCTGAGCAGCCTGGAGCAGTGAGGATGCCTAGGACCCTGCCAGGCTCTTAGAGCCTCTGGGCACCAGGCTGCTCAGGGTTCAGGCTCTGATGGGGAGAGAACTGGTGGCCTAAGTGGGACCTGAGATAGCCAGAGTCTATGCCATGGCCTCTTTCCTGCCAGCATCCTCAAGTGAAAGGATCTATCTGGGGAGTGGCAATGAGCCATTGGAAATTACAAGGAGGCAGATGCACCCAGCCTGATGACTGCTGACAATCCCAGGGCCTGGAGCTGGGATCTCCAGCTGCTATGGGCTCTGGGAGCCCCCATGGTGACCTAGGAGCTCCTTCTGGGTGCCTATGCCCGAGTGAGAGCTGTTCATTCAGTCAACAAACATTTATTTAGTGCTTGTCAAACCCAGTGCAGATCCAAATCCAGCTGGGTCCCTGTCTGTGGCCTTGGGAAGTAGCTTCATTCTGAGCCTCAGCTTCAGAGGTGGCAGTGCACGGCTTGCTGAGGATGGACACTGCTCAGCCCTACACTCAGCTAGGGCTGAGAAAGTGCCCGCCGCTGCCCACTAGGGCTGGGGAGCCCAGAGGGCCATATGGGCCCCAGCCTTGCTGGATCCAGGGTGTCGACTTATACGAAAGGCACCAAGGCCACCATCAGCAGGGAGAAGGGACAGGGCTGTGGAGGAGAGGAGCACGGGAAAAGGCTGGGTCTGGGGGCTGTAGGGCACTCATGCTCTCTCCTCTCTTCTCAGTACGGCAAGAAGAAGCTGAAATACCTGCCTTATAACCACCAGCACGAGTACTTCTTCCTGAGTGAGTGTTCCAAGCCCCAGGACCACTTCCTAGATCCTACCCTCCCCTTGCAGTGGCCTCTCCCCCTGCCCCCTCGCTACCCTTTTCTAACCCAGAAAGTAATACCAAACTGTCCAAAGTAGGGGGAACACAGCAGCCATCTTGTGGCTCCCGTGCTGCAGGCCAGGTGGGGACACAGCCTGGACAGTCCAGGATCGTTCATTCAGCGATCCCAGGGCCATCTGTGCACAGTCCTCGGGGGGTCTCTGGCTTAGCCCCTCCCCATCCCGCTCAGATGGGCCTCTGCTCTCTCTCCTTCAGTTGGGCCACCGCTGCTCATCCCCATGTATTTCCAGTATCAGATCCTCATGACCATGATCGTTCGCAAGGACTGGGTGGTGAGTTGGGGGCAGAGCTGGCTGAGCACTGGGGAGCAGGGTGGCAGAGCAAGTGGACCCAGGGGTCTTCATGGGGCCTGAGGGTTCCCAGGCATCTTCCCCCAAGTAGTTGCCTTGTCACTCTCAGGAAGGGACTCCCTCTCAGGCTACCAGCAGCCAGTCCTAAAGATCTCCACGTGTACCCTCCCACACACATGGGGGGAATCTGCTGGGTCAGCCACTACCTTTGCATAGCCACCTCACAAAGCTCCTGAAGGCAGCTTGCTGAGAGGCGCTGCCCCCCCCCCCGGCCCTGCCCTCCGCCCTCTGCAGCCCTGAGGCCTTGCGAACTGGATCACCCCACACTCTGGTTGGAGAAAGGGAGCAGCTGGGTGCTGGCTGAGGAGACGAGCGTATTAGTTTGCTACGACTGCGTAACACAGCACTCTGGCTGAGCGGCTCACAGTTCTGCAGGCTGAAGTGCGGAGTCAAGGTGTTAGCAGAGCTCTGAGGCAGGCTTTACTCCAGGCCTTTCTGGGGCTGGTAGGTGGCCGCCTCTCCTGGCCTCTCTTAGGTCATCTTCCCTCTACACAGGTCTGTGTCCATGTCCAAATTTCCCTTTCTTTATGGGCTATCAGTCGTATTGCTGTAAGGCCCAGCACAGTGCTCTCATCCTCACGAGTTACATCTGCAGTGACCCTCTTTCCAAATATGGTTAAGTTTTATGGTTTTAGGGGTTTGATTTCCAACATAGGAATTTGGGGGACATAGTTTAACAAAACAGCAGGCTGGCTCGGCGCCTATAGCTCAACCGGCTAAGGCGCCAGCCACGTACACCTAAGGTGGCGGGTTCGAATCCCCAGCCCGGACCCGCCAAACAACAATGACAGCTGCAACCAAAAAATGGCCGGGCGTTGTGGCGGGCGCCTGTGGTCCCAGCTACTTGGGAGGTGGAGGCAGGAGACTCGCTTGAGCCCAGGAGTTGGAGGTTGCTGTGAGCTGTAATGCCACGGCACTCTACCCAGGGGGACAGCTTGAGGCTATGTCTCAAAAAAAAAAAACAACAAAACAGCAGGCTTAGAGGAGTCTTTTGAATATGTTTCCAGAGAGAGAAAGGGGCTTTGGACCTACAGGGGCTTTCCAGCCTGGGGCACAAGGCCAGGCCTTGGATTTAAGTATTATGAAATTTGAGCCTTGACTAAGGTGGCACCACATGGCGGGGCGGCCTCCTGATGCCATGTTCTGTACTCTCCCCACCATGCCCCAGCCACCTATCAGGCTTTCAGAGAACAATACCTGATATTTGTAGAGCACTTTAGGGCTTCAAAGTCCTTTATCTTACATTCTCTCAAAATTACAGAGCTGTGAGGCTGTGTCTGGCGATTCCGAGGAGAGGACGGACCATGGTGTGGTGGGGGTGTTGGGGAAGGGGTGGGACCCCGGAAGCCTCTGCAGGCCTGTCCTGGGAGAATCTGTACTTACCTCTAGGACATGCTGTTTTCTCAAAAGCGAGCATTTCATCGGTATTGACCATGTTCTAGGAACAGGCTAGAACTGCACCCACATTGTGTCGCTAACCCTGTTGTTCTGACCAGCTAGGTAAGGGTGGAGGGACAAGGAGATGACCCAGAGTTTCTGGATCATCTCAGCGGCTGGGATTCGAGTGTGGATCTCCTCCCCTGCCAAGACTGCTGTTTCCACCAAGCTTGCCTGGAGTCACAGATGGAAAGGGACCTGAGCCCTTCTGGGCTGGTTGAGGGGACACTGCTGGGGTCATTTTAATCAGCTCTTATGACAGATGACCCTTGATAGAAATATATAATTTTTTCTTTTTACTGTGCTTGTTCCCTAGGAACAAAGCATTAAACAGGAAACTATGTTGTGTCCCTCAAAGGGATGGGATGGCAAAGGCAGGGAAATCTGATGAGCCCTTGAGACTTCCCGGGGCCTGGGTGTGGCTGTGACCTGGGGTGTTGGTTCTCACAGGGCAGTTCTGTTGGCCATTTGGCAATATCTGGTGATGTATTTGATTGTCACAACTTGGGGGTGTGAGGATGTTACTGGCATCTAGTGGGCTTCTAGCCAGGGTGGTGCTCCACATCCCACCAAGTGCTACAAGGAAGCATCAGCAAGAAGTGCCAACAGGCTGGAGGTGGGGGAACCCTGACCTAGGGTAAAGAGGGTGATGAATCCTAAGGGTTTTGCAGGCTTCTGATGGGAGGTTTTCGCTGTTCTGGTGAGGTTCCCCAGGGCCACATCCTGGGCTGTGCCGTATATGACAGCACTGACTACTCCATCTTGCAGTTCTTCCTGAACGTAGTTCTGGAATCCAAATAGGTCCCTCGTTGGCCCTGTGGGTCCTGGTTTAGTCCTCCGTGGTTTTGTGTCTGATCTACCAGAAGACCCTCCTAGTCCTCCCATCTTTAGTTGGTGGGAGTCTCTTAAGACACAAATGTGACCATGTCCTGTTGTTTGGAGTAAGACAGGGGGCAGTGCCCTTTGCCTGCTTTAACCTCTCCTCACCCCCCTCCCCCAGCAACTGTGCTGAGCCTATGGCATATACATCTGCATATAATACAGCAGGATGAACACTCCTGGCCAAGGAAACAAGTGGTGCAAAGGCCCTGGGGCAGTAGTTAGCCGGGTTAGATGTCCAAGGAGAAAGAAGTTCCTGGCCTTGCAGGATCCATGGGCAACTCTGGGTGAGACGAGGGCTTAGGAGAGGAGATGGGGTCTGCTTGGAGGGATGGTCACTCTGGTTGCCATGGATCATGAGGACAAGCAGGAGACTAAGGAGGAGTTGCTGCCAAGTCTAGCTGAGACAGAGAACTTGGGTGGCAGAGAGGAAGAGGAGAGAGGTGGGTAGTGGAGGGTGGGGAGCAGCAGTGCCTTACCAGGACAGGAGAGATGTCCAAGCCCAGTCACTGTCACCGCCCCGGTGAGGGGCGTAGGGAAGAACAGGGCATGAGGAGAAGCTAGTAGCACCTGAGGCTGCCACAAGGGGCTTATGGTGGGGACAGTGGTGCCTGCTGGCCTTTGTCCCTCTGGCTGTCATGCTGGAGTGAGAGGCTGGGAGGCGTTCAGTTGCTGAGCGGCAGGATAGGGCTGGAGGGCAGGTAGAGGGGAGAGTAGGAGACGCACCTTGAGAATCCTCCAGCCCCATGCAAGGGCTGCTGACCTCTGTCCCCTGCCCTGTGGCTGCTCCCCCACCCCAGCCAACCATGTTGCCCTCCCTTTTTCTCTGAAACAGCAGAGCATAGTTCACTTCCTGCTGCTGAGACACTTGGTATTTCCCTAGAAACAAGGGCAGTCATGCCAGCCCCAAGCAGATGGGCAGCTGCTGCCCATTGTGTCCCAGTGGGCTGCTGCCCAACTTCCTGGAAGCCTGTTGGGGTTTCTTTTGGACACATTTATGCAGCAGCAAGTATGAGGTGTGTGCACATCTGGAGCAGCTGGGGCCAGGGTGGGGAGGGCAGGCCACACCTTATCTTGTCTCTCCCGCAGGACCTGGCCTGGGCCATCAGCTACTACACCCGTTTCTTCGTCACCTACATCCCTTTCTATGGCGTCCTGGGAGCCCTCCTCTTCCTCAACTTCATCAGGTGCCTGAGCATAGCTGGTTGACCCCGGGCCCTCCGAGACCACCAGCATTGATGAGGGCTGTGGTGTGAGCCCTGTGAGGAAAGGCCTAGACATCCCCTCATGGCCCTGGGACCTCCTGTCCTGGCACCTCGGCTGTGGCTGCCCTGGGCTGGTTGGGAGAGTGGAGATCTCTGGAGGCTCCTTGCTCAGCTGAGCTCCCTTGCAGGTTCCTGGAGAGCCACTGGTTTGTGTGGGTCACGCAGATGAATCACATCGTCATGGAGATTGACCGCGAGTCCTACCGTGACTGGTTTAGCAGCCAGGTGAGGGACGGCAGAGATGGTCACCAGAGCCCTGTGCATCCTGGACCCAGACCCTGTTGGGCTTCCCTGGGGCTGCTTGTGTCCTGCTGGTAGCTTCAGGGCTAAGCAAGAAAGGAATCCAATGTAGGGACGGGTGGGGAAGTCTGGGATGATCAATGCTTCAGGCAGTATGGGTGACACAGAGGGGTGAACTGGAGACCCAGGGTAAGGGTGGACTCCGTGGGAATGAGGCCAGGCCCTCTAGTCTTCCTTCACTCGTGGCCACTTGTGCCCCTCCCCTGCAGCTGGCAGCCACCTGCAACGTGGAGCAGTCCTTCTTCAACGACTGGTTCAGCGGCCACCTCAACTTCCAGATTGAGCACCAGTGAGTATGGGCTTGGGTGGGGCTGGGGGAGATGAGGATACCCCTGGGGGAGGGAAGTGGCCACCAGCCCCATCTGGGCAAAGCACAGCTTGAGGGGGCTAATTCTCTGTCCCCCCCATCAAGGCCCAGTCCTGCAGTGTGGCTCCTCAGTCCCCACCCAGGTCAGGAGGGAGCTCCTTCGTGCAGGCTCCCCTAGGTAGATCTGTGCCCTGGCCCTGTGCCATGAGGTCACACCCTTCTCCACCTGTGGGCACATAGGGTCTGCAAGGCATCTCATAATCCTGAGAGGTTAGCAGGGCAGGGTTATTGATCTCACTTCATTGACAAGGAAACTTAGGCCCAGCTAGATAGCTCACCCAGAACAAAGGTGGCCAGGCACTGCTCTTGCTGCCCTGTCCTCTCTCACCTCTTGTCACTGTTCCTTTTCTTCTCAGTCCCTACTTCTTCCATTTCCTTTAATTTTTTTTATTTTTTGAGACAAGGTCTCACTCTGTTGCCCAGGCGAGACTTCAGCAAGGGGTCCTCCCACCTCGGCCTCCTGAGTAGCTGGGACTGAAGGCACACACCACAGCACTCAGCTAATTTTTAAATTTCTTTTGGAGACAGGGTCTCTATAGGCTGGTCTTGAACTCCTGGCTTTAAGCAATCCTCTTATCTCAGCCTCCCAAAATGCTGGGGTTAGAGCCACTGATCCCAGCCTCATTTCCTTTTCTGAAAAACATGACATTTTGTCTGGCCAGCTGTACCACTCAACTAGCCCTGTGCATGCCCAGGAAAAGCTGCAAGCAAGCCAGGTCCTGGCCTGGGCCTGGGCCTGGGAGGAGATGGGGGTGGCCTGGCCTGGAGCAGTCTCACACTCTGCCCACCCTGTGCTTTCCCAGCCTCTTCCCCACCATGCCCCGGCACAACTTCCACAAGGTGGCCCCGCTGGTGAAGTCTCTGTGTGCCAAGCATGGCATTGAGTACCAGGAGAAGCCACTGCTGAGGGCTCTGCAGGACATCGTCAGGTAGGGACAGGGGTCTCCAGGTACTGGCCTGTGAGGGCCCAGGGTTCAGGGAGGGTATAGTGGGGGCGGAGAAGACACAGCTGGGGATTACTTGTGGAGACTGGCAACCACATGAGGGGACAGGTGCTCCTGGCAACCCCCTCGCCAGCAAACCCCCCTCCTCCTAAGCCTATTATCAGTGATGCCCAGCTTCTCCCCTGGCCAGAAGAGGATCTGCTCTTTCTTTTTCTGCAAAGGGTCCCCAGGGACTCTGAACTAGCAACCCATCAGACCACAGTGGCAGCAGCAAGACCTGGCTGAGAGCTGTGAGGGAATACCTACCGCCTCTATCACAGCTTCCCCAGCCCTCCCACTCCCTAGGATGCCCTGACACCCCCAACCTGGTCCCTCCCACTCCCTAGGATGCCCTGACACCCCCAACATTCCTCTTTCTCTGCAGGTCCCTGAAGAAGTCTGGGCAGCTCTGGCTGGATGCCTACCTCCACAAATGAAGCCCTCGGCACACCCACAGGGGTGATGGCCACAAGGAAGGGTGGGCTTTTGTTCCATGGGGTGTCCGTGAGGCTGTAGTATGCCCCACTCGTGGACCCCATGTTTGGTCTTTCTCCTCTCCTTCTTCCCTTCACTTCCCCCCAGACTCTGTCCTCATGGGCCTGTCCTGTCAGCCTGGCACTCTCTCTTGGGCCTCACAGTCCTTTCTTCCCAGGAATAGACAGGGGTCACCATGGGAGGTGGCGCCATCCCTGCCTCCAACCTCTGACCCTAAAGATCAGAGGAGACCAGAGTCTGTGAGTCTGGCCTGTGGCTCCTCTCCTTGTAGCCTGGGCCTCACACTCTTCCCATCTGTACCCCAGATACTCTTTGGATCCATGGTGCAGGGTCTCAGGGTCCTAGGTGGCAAGTCTCCCCACCTCTCTGGGCCTGGCTCTGTTCTCCCCCAACAAACATCTTTGGTCTTCCCCTCTTGTAGGGAGGCTTGACGGCTGGGACCAGTGCCTGGGGCCTCCCTTCAGATGTCCAGGGCCCCAGGTCTGCAACACAGCCAGCTCAGACTTTGGGATCCAAGGAAATGTTCTCGGGTATCCCACCACTGGAGCTCGCTGGCCCTGGGCTTATGCGGGGCTTGGTCCACCACCTTCCCAACTTGAGCCTGTGACCTTGGCCCTAAAGGAATAGTCCCTGGTGTGGGCTTAGCAGAAGTGATGGCCAGGTTAGGAGTAGGGGCCACTAGCCCTGTCCAGATGTTTGTCTTAGTTGAGAGGCCCAAGATTCAGGAGCAATCAGACCCTTTCCCAAATGCACCATCACCTGTCAACCAATTCCTGGCTACTTGACCCACGAGGACCTGGGCCCTGCAGGCTGCACAAGGGCACTGAAGCTGGAGGTTTCAGCCCCTGCCTGAGTCAGAGCTGCCAAGGGGTAGGTGGGGGACAGCTCTCTCCTGTCTATACTCTTAACCTGTTCTTAACCTTTTGCCCCAGGGTGCACTCTGACAGGAGCAGGTGGCAGGGCTGGGCCTGTGACAATCGGCCTTTTACCACATGGCCTTGCTAGCTTCTCCCTCACTCAGTGGGCTGAGCCAGGCTCGCTCACCACAGCCAGGTGGCCCCCTCAGTCAAGGCCTCTAGGCAGGAGGCAAACCTGGAAGGAGGCTCAGGAGGAGGCAGCCCTGGGCAGCCAGGGGATGGGGAACCTCCTGAGGGCTGAGTTGGAGTTGAGAAGAGCAGGTGGGGAGTGGAGTTGGGGGCAGCTGAAGGGCTGGGTAAGTGGGAGGGAGGGGATGTCTGGCCACTAGGAGGGATCCTGAGCTGCTGCATTCAAAATCTAACCCACTAACTAATGTTTAGATTCAGGGGTTGGGTAGGGCATAAATGACTCAGAGAGGGGACCAGCATCTAGTGTTGACAGGCCTCCAGGTTGCCATGGCAGCAAGGCTCACCTGGACCCCCACTAGCTACCGTGTGGCAGAACGAATCCATAGGGAACTGATCTTAATTTTTATCATGTTGTTTCCCCACCCCTACATTTTTGGAAATAAAAGAAGTAATTTTATTCTCACTTCCTTTTGCTTCCTGCATGTTAATGCTAGGCCATGGAATGGGGGTGCTTCCCAGCGGGCCCAGGAGGGGGCCCACACTTGTATCCCTCTGTCCCCTCCCTCACTGTGGTCCTCCTATGCTGTCTCCCTGCAGCCTCTGGGCTGGGAACTTGGGGCAAATAATCCTAAACATTGGCCTGCCTTCCTCCTCCTGGGGACCCTTAGCAGCTGACCCTCACCCAATCCCAAAACACTAGAGCCTTCTGGAGGGTGGCATGGGGAGAACTGCAGAGGCCACCTTCCTAACACCCTCCCTCCCCATGTGTCTTCTCATCACCACAGTGTAGCCTTCCTTGGCCCCACTTTCCTCAGAGTGCTGGGGCAGACAATCCCAGGCATCCCTCTAAGAGGCTGAGGAAGGTCCTGGACACCAATGTTTCCATCTGTGGCTCCTGTACCCCTGCAGTGATTCATTCAGAAGCCATATCATCCCAGCCCAGATCATCAGCTCACAGGCAACAGCATGGAGCCTGCGTTCTAGGTCTGCCCAGATCCCTGGACGAATCTGAAGGAGCATGCCAAAGCACTATACAGTCTGACCCACTGGCTTCCCTGGGTCAGGGCAAGGTGTGCTAGGGATGAGCTGAGAGAGACGGGACAGCCTATGCCTCAGGGGCTCCCCCAGGCCCACCATTATCCTAGCAGGGTTGGGGAGGGCTCCAGAGTAGCTCTTCACTGCCCCTCCTGTTGCCCAAGCCCAGGGTTGCCTGACTGCAGTCTCTCCACGTAGGTACAGCTAGCAGATTGGAATTGCAGGGGAAGCCCCAATCAGGTCATAGACATCCTTGCTGGTTCACCAAGTGGCCCTGGGGCAGTCCTTTGCACTTTCCAGCCCTCTGGGCCAATTTCCCCATTGTATAGTGAAGGGACAAGGCCACAGGGGCCCCAAAGATGCCATTGTTTCTTGATACCAGTGTGCCCTGGGCTTTGCCCTCCTGGTGGGCCCTCTGGAGCCCCTAGAGGCTGCAAGACCGTGGAGAACATGCCTTTCACCCATATCTGTGCCTGTCTTCCACTTGTCACCCAGGCTGCACCTGGCACCCCAACTCCCAGGATGGTACAGAACAGGATGGAGACCAGCCCAAGCCCCGACCCCACCAGCCGGAAATCCTGAATATGTTGCCCAGGGCAGGAGAGAGGGATGAACAGCACAGAGGCCAGGCAGATGATGCACTATGAGGGCTCGATGGGCACTTGGATCTTCTCTGTGACTTCTTCCCCAGGCCCCCGCCTTGCCCTTGAGCCCTACCCTTGGATCAGGAAGCTGGAAACACCAAATCTGTCCTCTCCCAGTTGCCTCCTCTTGTCCCAATATTCTCCTGAGGCTCTTGCCCAACACCCTCAGAATGGTGGGCTTCTCACCCCTACCTCCTGCCAAAGTCCTAACACCCTAACATTCAAGGCCCTGAGGATCAACCCTGACACCTCCATCAAAGGAGATAAGGCTGAAACCAGAGAGGGGAGAAGACTGGCCTAAGGCCGCACAGCAGCTGAATCAGGACAGGCAGTAGGCTTCCTGCCCTGCACCTAGCAGGCCCTGGGCACCTCTCTTCCTCCTGCACAGAAAGAGCTGGCTCCCCTACCGAGGCACCCAGTGCTCCTCATGTCAAATGCCAGACTGCTCCTGGGCATAGGGTGGAGGCAGTAGAGGGCCTAGTCCCTATGGAGGAGATAAGAGCAAACACATAGCAGTGGGCCACCAAGATAAAAGGTGGTGGGGGCAGGTACAGGGTCAGCTAAGTGAGATGTGTGTGAGGCTGTAGCTTGTGGGGGCCATTGGACACTAAGAAGTTCTCAGCTCCCTTTGGAAGGGGGAGGGAGGCCTTTTGCAAAGTGGACCAGGACAGAGGTGACTGCCATTGGGAGTGTAACACAGCCCCTTGGGTCCATAAAGACTCTTCTACTTGACCCTGCTGCACTGTCCCCAATGATGTGTGCTCCTTTGGACAGGATGCAGCCACTCGAAGAGCCCATTTTAATGTCTGAGAGGGAAAGAGCATCCCCTGGCCTAGAAATAGGCCAGAGGGGACAACTTGCCCTGGGCCCCAAGCTCCAGTACTCTCTTACCTGGCTTCTCCTTCCCTAACTATTCTGGCTTCACACAAAGAACAAGTGGCCACCCAGTGTGCTAGGATACCATGATCATGTCCCTATTGTCCCCTGCTATTATAAACTTCTCTTTGGGCTTTGAGGACATTTAGGTTTTTCTTCTAAACCATCAGATTCAAAAACAAGTATCCAAGAGGAACTGGGAACTTGGAGAGTTGCTCCAGGACAGTGTGGGGGAGGCATGTGTGGGACAGCCAGGATTCACCACCTATTCCTGTGAATGCCCATTTCCCACATCTGCCTGGGTCAGGGGACCCTGAGTAAGTGTTGGTAAATTAGAACAAATGAACACACAGTCATGGCTTCCCGCAGTAGTTATGCTTTTCTTCTCTGCCCAGGACTCTCCTGAAGATGATAAAAAGGTACATAGGGGTTCCCAGGGGTGCCACCACAGCCTTTCCCTCTCTTCTTTTATAAACCTGGCCCATGTTCCCTAAGTCTCTCCTCTATGAATGAATGAGAGACCTACAGAGCGGGAGCTCAACTCAGGAGAGGGAGGAGATCTGCTTCCAATAGTCAGTGGGAGTATGGGGGACATTGAGATAAGAGCAAAGATGACCAGCCAGTAACATTCCAGGCAACAGGAGACACTCCAGAATGGCTACTGAGGGCGTGGCCTTCACAAGGCCCTCTAAGCAAGCTACTCGACCACCGCCAGGGGCAGCATGGAGCACCGCCCGCCCCACAGTAGTGCAGAGCGCAAGGGCGCCCCTGGGTGGTGTTGCAGTCTCAGTGGTCCCGAGGGAGAGCCTTGCCTGGCAGGGGATGGAGGGAATGCCTTCCTTAGCCCTCCTGGGACTGGAGTGCTACTATAGTGCCAGGAGTAAGCAGGATGTGGCCAGGTGGTGACAGGAAGGGGGACTCCCTACAGGGTGAACACCCTGTGCAGAGATACTAAGGATCTGAAAATGCCCTGAACTTGAGAAATGTTCATTTGAGTAAGTGATGACCCCAGGGCTCTGGACCATGTGTATAAAATTTGTGAATAAACTTGTGAGCCGCCTGCTGGGCCCTTTGCCAAAAGCTTTCCATGTATCATTCCTTCCATGTTCCATCTCCCCTAGGTGGCTTGGGGTGAGGTGGCTAGTGCTCAGAGAGGTTGAGTAACTTCCCTTTGGTCACAATCTAACTGTCCCCATTGTCAGATGAGGTGCCCGGGGCCTGGTAATGAGCAGTGCCCTGTCCAAGGACATTGGCCAGTCAGGGCAAGTCCCCAGACTCCAGGGACGCAGGGAAAGAGATGTCATGCTTTGGGTTGTCCAGCTTATTCACTGGAGCAATTGCTACAGGTGGACACGGGGCAATTGGTGTCCCCTCCTGCAGGCTACTAGGCAGAGTTAGGCACTACCCATGTGATGCCACACACAGTGCTAAAATCAGTGGGTACCCTAATCCATGGGGCCCTTTGAGGATCCCGTCACAAGGGATGCCAGGAGGTAGGTGCAGGTCAGAGACACGGCAGCTTCCCTGTCTGGTGCTCCAGAGGCGCTTACAGACACGGTCCTCAGCCCTGGGTCCTTGTCTGCAGGGCCAGCCCTGACCCATTATGTAGAAGCTCAGCTCAGCTCAACTTGCCCCTGGTGGGAGGGTGACTAGGAAGGGACCAGGCCCTTTGGGCAGATCTGAGCCTGGGCCACTGCCAGTGCCTCTACCCAGTGCACCCAGAGTGGATGGGAGCTTCTTAGCCACCACCTCCCACACCCTGATGATCCCAGGGCCTGAATGTGTTGGGCAATCTGGGGCAGACTCCAGTTCCAGAATTCATGCAGATTCAGTACTCCATAATATATCTGGGTGTATTTTTATATAAAAATAACAGTTTCCCCCCAATTCTTATTCTAGGAAAACATGCCGTGCTCGCTGTGTGGCTTTATGTTCCTTCCCTCCCCCCTGGCCCTGTTAGGCCCAGAGCCAAGGTCACGGGGCTGCAGAACAGATAGGCGAGGAAAAAGTGGTGTGGCCAGGTGGGCAGGCAGGACACCCCAGGCTGGTGGGTGGAGGGCTGGAGTACTGATCCTGCCTGGCACCGCTTGGAGGTTGCTGAGCCCTTACCCCTCTCTGCTGCTTTCACTGGTGGAGGTAGGCATCCAGCCAGATGTCACCGGACTTCTTCAAGGACCTGGGAGATAGAGGCAGGTGTTGGGACTTAGGGGCAAGATCCTAACACCACTGTACCCTCAAGATGAGTGTGAGTAGGGACATCCCCATTTCCTGTGGGACTCCTTCCCCCTGGGGCAGGTGACTATGTGGGGCCAGGGTGTGGGCTGGGAGAAGAGACTAAGTGTTCACTGACTGGAGGAGAATTCAGGCATGCGCCTGGATGGGCCCGTCCTTCCTTCGCCTAGTTCTCTATGTCACATCCTTCTGCTGGGGCTGTGACCCAGAGACACATAGGCCATGGAATCTGCCTACAAGGAGCCCAGGGTTGGGCAGAGGAGCCAGGAAGCCCTGTGCCAGGTGCTCTACAGGGGCTGAGCTGAATGGCAGGGGCTAGAGAATCAGGCTGGGAATGATTGAAGGAGAAGCAGGGTTCTGAAGATCAGTGCAGAAGGAAGGGCATCTGAGTAAAGGGAACAGCAAGTGCAAAGACACAGAGAAGACCTAGAATCTGACCTCTTCCCCTTTTCCGAGGCAACTGCCAGGGTTGAGCCCCAACACCCCTCTTCACCTGGACAGCTGCAGGGGCCTCTACTCTTCCCTTCTCTACCTCGATTCCTGCCCTGCCAGTGCATTCCCTGGCAGGGAACCTTTCCAAGATGTAAGGTGGCATGTCCCTCCCCAGTCAGGGGTATACCACCATGCTTCTGCCTCAGGGCCTTTCATTGTGGTGCCCTCCAGCAGACACACCTGTGGCCAGCCCTCTTTGTTCCCTGCCTCTGCTCTCATGTCAGCTTCTCAACACTGCCAACTCTATTAAAAATTGCAACCCTGGCAGCAACTTGGATGGACCTGGAGGCCATTGTCATAAGTGAAGTAACTCAAGAGGAGAAAATTAAGTGCCATGTGTTCTGTCACTTATAAGTGGGAGCTAAACTCTGACTACACAAGGGCACACAGAGTGGTGTAATGGACATTGGAAACTCACAGGGGTGGGGTGAGGAATGGAGAGTTACCTACAGGGTACAATGTACACTATTTAGGTGATAGGTACACCCAAAGCCCAGCCTGCAACTCTGTACAATATATACATAGATACTTCCCTAAATCCATTCAAATTTTTAAAAAGAAAAAATTAGAGTACTAGAGTATTCCCCATCCTCTCCCTTCCTCCACATTTAGGGTTTTTGTGGTTGTTTTGCCAAAGTACATCTCACATTTTTTGTAATTTACTCATTTGTTATTCTAACTGCTTTCTGAAATGCAGCAATGGCAGCCTGCTTTGCCCACTGAAAATGGAAAAACAGCCTGTTGCATAGCAAGAGTGACACCATCCTCAAGTGAAACCGCCATGACAAAGGATTGACCCCTGCACACCAAAGTATTGTACTGAAGCTGTTTAAACAGTACCCACAGTTGGGTGCCGTGGCTCATGCCTGCAATCCTAGCACTCTGGGAGGCTGAGGTGGGAGGATTGCTTGAGCTCAGGAGTTTGAGACGTGCTTGAGCAAGAGTAAAGAAACCCCATCTCCACAAAAAATTAAAAAATCCTGGCTCGGCACCTATAGCTCAACCGGCTAAGGCGCCAGCCACGTACACCTAAGGTGGCAGGTTCGAATCCCCAGCCCGGACCCGCCAAAACAACAATGACGGCTGCAACCAAAAAATAGCCGGGTGTTGTGGCGGGCGCCTGTGGTCCCAGCTACTTGGGAGGCTGAGTCAGGAGACTCGCTTGAGCCCAGGAGTTGGAGGTTGCTGTGAGCTGTAATGCCACAGCACTCTACCCAGGGGGACAGCTTGAGGCTCTGTCAAAAAAAAAAAAAAAAATTAAAAAATCCTGCCAGGCATTGTGGCAGGCACCTGTAGTTTCAGCTACTTAGAAGGCTGAGGCAGGAGGATTGTTTGAACCTAGGTGGCTGAGGCTGCTGTGAGCAACGATGATGCCATGGCACTATACTCAGGGAGACAGAATGAGGCTCTATCTCAACAACAACAAAAACAAAACCACCACCCCCACCCCAAATCCAATACCCATAGTAGAGATAACAATACCCACAGCATCATAAAGATGCTTATGTAACCTCCTCAGTGGTCACAATTTCCCAAGAAAGTCTGAGAGGTGACCAGCTACATGTATTTTACCAAAAAAGCCTGCTATTAAGTCATGGTGGCTCATGCCTATAATTCCAGCACTTGGGAGGCAGAGGCGAGTAGATTGCCTGAGCTCACAAGACCAGCCTGAGCAAGAGCAAGACCCTGGTTGGGTGTGGTGGCTGACACCTGCAATCCTAGCACTCTGGGAGGCTGAGGCAGGTGGATTGCTTCAGCTCATAGCTTAGCAAGAGCAAGACCCCATCTCTAAAAATAGCTGGGTGTTGTGGCAGGCACCTGTAGTCTCAGCTATTTGGGAGGGTGAGGCAAGATAATTGCTTGAGACCAAAAGTTTGAGGTTGCTGTGAGCTATGACACCACATGCTCTAGGGAGGGTGACAAAGTGAGACTCTGTCTCAAAAAAAGAAAAAAAAAAAAGAGCAAGATCCTGTCTCTAAAAATAGCCAGGCATTGTAGCAGGTGCCTATAGTCCCAGCTACTTGGGACAATGAGGCAAAAGAATCACTTAAGCCTAAGACTTTAAGGTTGCTGTGAGCTGTGATGCCATGGCACTCTACCAAGGGTGACAAAGTAAGACTCTGTCTCAAAAAAAGTCTGCTATATAGAAGACATTCTCTGGAGGGTGGATGCGGACACCACCATCTCATGGCCACCTGAGACATCACTTCTGTCTGTAAGTCCCTATGAAATGCTTCTTTCTGAGAAACTGGATTTGTCAGCCTCTTTCTTCCCTGTAGAACACCACGGAGCCCATGGTGGGGGCTCCATAAATTCTCACTGTGTCAATGAATACTGGGGAGGGAGGGAGAGAGGGCACCGGCTGAGGACAGGGTGGCCTGAATGCTGGCTCTTGGGAGGGCTCATGAGTGCTTGTGAGAGTCCTGCCCAAGGATGCCGCGGTGTGCCCAGGGGCTGGGCTGCAGCCTTACCTGATGATGTCCACCAGGGCAGTGAAGAAGGGCTTCACCTCATAGCTGAGGCCGTGCTTGGTACACAGTGCCTTGACCAGCGGGGCCACCTTGCGGTAGTTGTGCCTTGGCATCGTGGGGAAGAGGCTAGGGGTGGATAGTGTACCCTGGCATCTGAGGTTGGGGGGCTACCACAGGGGGCCCAGGGAGCAGACACATATCTCTCACCTCCCAGGCTCTTCTCCCAGGGCCCACAGCAAGCCTAGGGCTCTCTTCTTGGCCCCCCTGGGAAAGGCTGACAAGGGGCACCTGATTTGGCTCCTGGGTGTAGGCCTCACTCCCCACCTGAGGGGCCCCTGGAATCAGCACTCACTGGTGCTCAATCTGGAAGTTGAGGTGTCCGCTGAACCAGTCAATGAAGAGTGAGGGCTCCACATTGCAGGTGGCTGCCAGCTGCCAGGAACCAGCAGGGCATAGGTAAGGGAAGCTGGCACGGAGCCCAGACCCCACACCAGGCCCCTAACCCGCAGCTCCGTCAGGCCCCATCTCTTCTTGCTAGTTGGTATCTCAGCCCACCCCCACCCCTGTCGCCTACCTGAGAACTGGCCCAGTCCCGGTGCTTCTCGTGGCCGATCTCTTTGGGGATATGGTTCATCTGTGTGATCCACACAAACCAGTGGCTCTCTAGGACCCTGCAGGAGAGGCTCAGGCACTGCCCATGTCCACCTTGCCACTTAGGCACCCTGAGTGGAGGCTGGAGGGCTGCTGCCCCCAGACAGGGGCCTCAGCTTCCTCATCTGTACAATGGGGCTGTAATAATTGCTCTCTCACTAGCGTTTAAGGAAGCTGAACAGGCTTTACCACAAGGCCGAGCCCAAGGTGGCCCTACTTATGAGGGTGGGCACCTATAGGGATATTTGCAAGCTAGGCTACTGTCCCCAAATCTGCTGACCATGGGATGTGGCCACATTCATGTGTATTTGATTCCCCCCACAACCCAAGAAGGCAGGACTGCTGGCCCCATTACACTGATGGAGAAATAGAGGCTCTGAGGTAAGAGGGTGGCAGTCAAATCACCTGCCATCTGTCTGTGACCTCCCCACTCCCTGCCATTTTGAATCTGGCCATACCTGACAGCAACAAAGAGGAGCAGTACCCCAGGGACACCGTAGAAGGGGACATAGGACAAGAAGAAGCGGGCATAGAAGCTGGCAGCCCAGAGCAAGTCCTGCAGAGGAGGGCAGAGGAGATACTGAGTGGTCTCCAGGCAGTGGGGGTCTGGAGGTGGGGGGAGCTGGGCTCACCCACCTTGTCTGTTTGACTTGCCTTGAAGCTTGGGACAGCCCACCACCCCGTCTGGATTTTCTCAGTTGGGTAAATGGACAGGGTCCCCATCCTGCCTGCTCACAAGGCTGACTTTGGAGTGAAGGTGCCATGTAGGGTATGTGTGAGAAGCCCCTGCCAGGGACGTAAAGGCCTGGCAGAGTCAGCCCAGCAATTACCTCTCCCCCAGTGAGGAACCCCTGCTGAGAGCACCCACCCTATGTTCCTTGCAAACAGCAGCACATGCACACGGCTACGTGCATACTTGAGCACACTTGTCCCAAGTCACAAGCATACTCGCTCTTCTCTTGTGTGCACACACACCTGAGCCACACTGCTGCATGCCTGTGTGCACCCTGGTGGCCTTCGTGGGCAGGTGCTGTGCTGCCCCCCCCCCCGAGGACCCACGTCCTGCCACCCCTGTCTGCCTGCGGTTCTGAACAGCTCACTCACCGCCCACTGCATGCACACCAGCATGTACGCCAGGTTTTCCACCTCAAAGTTCACCAGAGTGAGTAGTGGCGGGCCGACTGCAAGAAGGGACATGACAGAGCTCAGGGGAAGGGGTAGGGTAGAAAGGGTGGGCAGCAGGTGGCAGGCTCCATCACTGCAGGAATGCCCATGGGATGCCAGTGCTGGTCCCACCCAGCTGGGACGATCCCACACGACTGAGACCTGGGCCATGTTCCCTCCCTTCATATCTAGGATTCCCCAGGCTAGACCACTCTGGTGTGAGGGTAGGAATTCTGTGGGGAAAGCTGCAGGTAGGGCTGTGACTGCACATGACAGGTGGCACCCAGGCCAGGGGACCAACCAGGGCAAGGACATGGTGCTGGGGACTGCAGATGGGGGCAACCTGCACAGAGCGGGGAGGATGCCCTGGAGAGGGAAGGTAAACAGGTGCACTGTGCCCCTTGGGGTAGCTGGGAGGAGTCCAGGACAGCAAGGAGGACAGTGCAGCCCTGGATAAACCCTCACACCTAGGAGGACAAGTGGACACTCACTCAGGAAGAAGTACAGGTGCTGGTGGTTGTAGGGTAAGTATCTTCGCTTCCTCTTGCCATACTGTGGAGATAGGCAGCAGCTCGTGAGGGCCCTCCTCCCAGGCTATCCTCCCAGGCAAGGTCAGGGGGCTGGCTGGGGCCAAGAGTCAAAGGCAACTCTAGATTCTAGCAACTGGGCCAATTGTCCTCAGCAGGCTGGGAGGTGGGGAAGGGAGACCACAGGGGCAGGAGTTCAGCCTGGCTAGAGTGGAGGGCTTGGTTCCCCTCAGCCTCAGGTTCAGCCCGAGGGTGTCAATCCCTCCCCACCCACCTCTATGGAGGACTCTCCCAGGAGGAAGACAGGCGCCAGAGTCACATCTGGGTCTTTGTGGAAGATGTTGGGCTTGGCATGATGCTGGAAATGGCGGAAGTTCCACCAGTGTGCGGAGAAGCCCTGTGGGGGAGGAGGGAGCTTTGAAGGGCCAGGCCAGTCCATGCCCACTACTCTGTGCCCAGACCCAGCACAGCACCCCCAACTCACCCCACCCTCACCTTCAGCTGCCCCATCACAAACTGCTGAGCCACGTGGTTCCACCGTGACTTCCTGAAGATGGAGGCATGGCCCAGGTCGTGCTGTAGACACCAGCTCTGAGCCTGGGGAGAGAGGCAGGGCCAGGAGTCACTGGGACAGAGCCTGCATAGGGACAGAAATCCCCACCAAAGAGGAGGGTGCTGGCTGCCTGGGGCCCCAGCTCTGGAGTCCCTGTGGTCCCTTCCAGCCCACAGGGTGCACCCCCAGCTAATGCTCCATTTCGAGACCCTTGTAGGCTGGCTCTCTCTTTTTACAGATGAGGACAAACTGAGTCTCAGGGAGGTGGAGGGACTTATAAGTCTGTCAGGGAGCTGTGGGCAGCAGCCTTCTGGCTCTGGCCCTGTGATTGCTTACACAGGATTTATAAAATTAGAAACTCCCTCGGTACACAGCTTGAGCCACAAACATGATGCGTGGGCCCTGTGGCTATTCACTCATTCATCTATTTGTCCATTCATTCACTCAGCAAATACGTCCAGACTACCCAATATGTGGGGGCCCAAGTCTGCTGGGCAGTCTAGGGTGGCTGCAATAATGCTGGGGTCACCTGGGAGATGGCCAGGATGAGGGCGGCAAGGGTGCTGGGTACCCAGCCAGGGCCCAGGAAGAGGATGAGGAGCCAGGCCAGCACCTCCATGGCCAGGATGTGGCCCAGCAGGAGAGCGAAGAAGGTGGGACTGGCCTCAAACAGCTTCATGTCCTCAGCTGCCTGGCGCAGGGCTCGGAAGTCCTCGACCAACTGGGCCTGCCAGGGTGGAGCTACTGGTCAGTGGGGAAATGAGGCCCCCTGTTGCCTTCAGGAAGTTCCCAGGGTTCTTAGGCTGCCCAAGCCCCAGCCACTCCTCCTGGTGCCAGACCAAAGGAGTGTGACCAAAAGGGGATGGAGGGACAAGAGCTCCAAGCCTGTGGGTGAGCTGGAGACTGCCTGGTGGTAAAGTCTTCCCATCCCAAAGGTGTGGGGTGGGTGAGAAGCCAGAGCCAGGAGGGAACACACAGAGCTCAGCTCATTGAAACCCTCACTGTAGATGGGGATGCTGGACTTAGAGCAGGGAAGGGGGCTGCCTGGGAACCCAAGCAAGTACTGGGCCAAGCCAGTTCTGGAGCCCTGGACTCTTGCAGGGCATCACTACAGCTTCACCTTCAGCAAACGCAGACCTGGCCCTGCATCACTGTGGGGAACGCAGATGGAGCTGCCACTGGCAACGTGGTGATGCCCCTAGGCCCTTTAGCCCCACCCCCACCCTGGGGGCTGAGTCTGCACAAGAGCCCTGCTCACATTCTGGGCTCCATCCTGACTGGGCTCCTCCGGGGCCAGCTCTCCGATCAGCAGGGGCTGCAAGAACTTGCGTACAAAGCCAAGATCCTGGTGGAAGGCGTGGAAGGCATCCTGAAGGAGAGCAGACAGTCAGGCAGACAGACAGATGGACAGCTCAGATGGGGCAGAAGACTTGTTGATGGACGAGCAGAGTAGACAGGTGGACGGACAGAAAGTCAATGGTTGTTCAGCAGTTAGCAAAATAGGACCAAGTGGGTCAGCCTTCTTGTAGTACTCCCTGGTCTTCCCTAGGCCCTGGGTGACATCCCTGTCACCCCTTGCCTGTCATGCTCCCTCTGCTTCACCCAGCACAGGGGTCCTCTCCAAACATGATTGAATGGATGCAAATCTTCCAGAGACTTCTCTGGAAGACTCTGACTCCATGAAAAGTCTCACTTCTTTTCTGAAAAGCTTTCTGTTTCCACAGCACATAAGATTTGGGTCACAAATGTTAGATTTACCCAATTTTTACAAATACAAGCAATTGGTAGAGTAGGGAATGAGTAGGGAAACCTGTAATTGTGGGCTACTGGGGCACCAGGAAAAAAAAAATCAGCCAAGGGCGACATACACTGACTTCTTGGAAGTTTGCAAGAAATAGTCTTGAACAATTAAACTCATTTGGTTTATAAAGTAGGAGCAGAAAATACAATTTTTAAAAAAAGTAACTAAAATCTAGCACTCTGTGATTCTCTGTAACGGCTGGGGTAGGTGCAATGCAGGAGCAGGAAGGAAGAGAAAAGAAAGAGGCATTAGTGAGGAGAAAGATCAGGTTTGGGACAGAGACAGTCAGAAAGTGGCCAGGGCGGTGATGAAGTAACAGTACACTTGAATGTCACACATGGGCTCACTTAGTCTTCCTGATCTGCCTGTGGTCTTGGGATTGGAATCAGCTCATTGTTCATAGCTCTTTGACTGATTTTTATTATCCTTGCACTTCCTAAGGCTCTCTCTGGGCCAGCCAGTCTCAAAGCTGCCTGAACTACAAAAGCAGTGTGTGTCCGACCCACGGGGCTGGGCAAGGCAGCTGAGAGGAAACACCTCTGAAGGAGGCTGAGGGAGAAGAGGGCCTCCTATTGTCCTCCCCCTAATGGACCTACCAGCTGCTGTCCCTAAAACAGAACTAATGGTGGGGCCCTGAGGTCACCTCTAGAACATCCTGGAAGGGATGAGGGAAGGAAGCACCTCAGGTCTCACTTAGAGGCCATACCTGCAGGGCCCACCTCGGTCCTGTTTCTTGCTCTTTTGGGCCCAGGGAAGCCTGAGGATTAGAGGGCTGAGTGGGTGTGGCTTCAAGAACAACCTGGGCTGACTTGACCCCCTGGACCTCATTATAGGGAGGGGGCAGCATAGAAAAGGCAGCAAAAAAAAACTGGAGAGAAAGTAGGGGTATGGAGCTGGGGACCCATAGGAAACGGCCTGTCCCGGGCTACCTGGGAGCTGCTGTTGGCAGGGGTACCAGGAAGGAAGGTTCTTCAGTTTCTACTGACCCCGCTCAGTGTGTGTGTGAACTTCTTTAAAAAAAAGAGAGGATTTTGCTATGTTGCCCAGGTCAGAGTCTAACTCCTAGGCTCAAGTGATTCTCCTGCCTCAGCCTCCAGAGTAGCTGGGACTACAGGCGTATGTGAGGAGTATGACTCTGAGCTAGGCCATTCTCCTGGAGGGGCCTCAGTTTCTAGGGGAAACTGAGGCAGTGAGACTTCAAGGACCTCCTGGTTCAGAATTGCTGGAAATTAACACTTAAAATTTTTTTAATTGTAGGGCAGTGCCTGTGGCTCAAAGGAGTAGGGCACTAGCCTCATATACTGGAGGTGCCGGGTTCAAATCCAGCCCCAGCCAAAAACCACAAAAAAAAAAATAATAATTACGGTAAAATATACATAAAGTTTACCATTTTAATCATTTTTAGGGAGGTACACAGTTCAGTAGCATTAAGTACATTCACAGTGTTGTGCAACAATCAGTCTACCTCCCGAACTTGTCCATCTCCTCCACTAAAACTGTGACCCCATTAAACACTAACTTCCCATCCCCCACCCGCCACCCCCAGCAACTACCATTCTGTTTTCTGTCTCCATGAACCTGACTATCCTGGGAACCTCCTGTAGAAGGAATCACATTTGTCCTTTTGCATCTGGCTCATTTCACTTGCATAGCATCCTCAGCGTTCATCGATGTTGTAGCATGTGACAGAATGTCCTTGCCTTTCAAGGCTGAACAGGTGTGAAACCGCTTTCCTCTCCTTCCTGTGAAACTCCCTTGGCAGCACAGGGACCCCAGACGCTGTGCCCAGAGGCACAGAAAGGCAGTGCTGTACACGTGTGTGCACTCCTGCAGACATACCCACCAGCCCCACTCAGCAAGCAAGACTCAGACACTCAGACACACGGCCATCATCGAAGCCCACAGGAACATGCAACCAGACAGAGCCTTGCACGGACACACACAGCAGAACAGTGCACACTGGCTACGACCCCAGGCTCTCCTTCTCCCCCACCCCTGCCCTCTCTCAGCCCTGTGTCTGTTCCGGGGCCACCCTTACAGCTGAGGCTCTGGGAGAGCAGGTCGGCTTCCATGACTTCTGTCCCTTGGTTGATTCACCCAGGCCAGCCCTGTGGAGGTACCGGCTGAGAGGACAGAGCTGGGCCCCCAAAAGAATTCCAGCCAGCCCTATCCTTTAGAGCAGCAGTTCTCAACCTGTGGGTCACAACCCACAGGAACTGTGTTAAAGTGCCACAGCATTAGGAAGGTTGAGAACCACTGCTTTATAGTGATAAGGGAAGTATGAGCCCTGCTCTCCATGGGTCAGAAAAGCCCAGGGCTGTAGACAGGGGCTCCAGCTGGGGGAAGAGAGGGCTGTGGCAGGGCCTTGAGAAGCAGGCTGGGCAGGCACTGGTTGTGGTGGTGGTGGTGGTGTGACCGGGTCTTCACAGGATCATGTGACCTAGTCTTCTCTGGTCCTCTGCTCAAGGATCCAGGAGGTAGGCAGCCATTAAGGCTCAGCGAGGTTAAGCCACTTCCTTCAGGTCACATAGCTCCATTTGACTGATGTTGGATCAGAACCTGAGTCTGACTACAAAGCTATGCTTGTGGCCACTCAGCAGTCACCCCAGGGTGGTAGCTGCTCCTAGGCCAGAGGGAAGGCAGTGGGCCTCCATGTAGTGTAGGGGGAGTCCCCACCATGAGGTGGGCCATCATCCCAGCCAGCCAAAGACCAGTTGCTGGAAGCCTGGACTGTGGGGACAGGAGGGTGGTTCTTGAGCTACACCCACTGAGTCTAGGGCACTACAGGGAGTCCCATCCTCCCACCCTCCGTGCATCCAGAAGCATTTTGCCACGGGTATGTGTGCCAAGGCCCGTGATTCCCCATCCTCACCCAAGCAAGCTGAAGGTGGCACTTGAGATCTCTCACTGGCTTTTAGAACAAAGCTGGGTGAATGAAAAAGGCACTCCCCAAACATAAGTGCCTAGTGGCAGCGACAGGCTCTATTCTCAGAGGCTGGCACTCAGCCCAGCCATGCCTTGGTCCCTGGAAACCTAGAAGCAGCTCCGCTCACCTCCAGAGCTCTCCCTTACCCCCATCCCCATCATTTAGTCCACACAGCAGCCTGGGCAGCATCTCCAGAGCCAGCCAGCCAGCCAGGATAGGTTCTGAGACGCCACTCAGGAGCCAGGGAGCCCCAGAGACTGTACCCTTCTCTACTCTGTATTGTCTCATCAATAAAATGGGGCTGCTGGGAGGGTGGAGCTGGGCAGGTAAAACACTCAGAAGGGGCCTGGCATCCAGTAAGTGCTCCCATCAAGGGAGCTCTCCGTGTGCCTTCTCTCCCCAGAGGGCTTGCAGGTGCTGGGCAGAAAGAGAAGATGGTGCTCTGCCTGCCAAGTTCTGGCTGAGCCCCAGGGCTGGGCCACAAGAGGGGCTGGCAACCTCCCTCTACCCCAGAGACACAGCAGGGGAGGGAGAGATTTTGGTTGCTCCCCAAAGAACTGGGAATGTTCCAGATTATTCTGAAAGTGGGTAGAGTAGAGAACGGAGCAGGGCTGCTAAGGGCTCAGGTGGTCTGTTTTTGCTGCCTCCTTGTACCTTTGCTGGAGATGGGGTGATAAGGGGGATATGCCTTAGAGGATCCCTCTTACCTCCTTCCTGCCACTCTCTCTCTCCCAGGTAGGTGGATGAAGCCGGAACCCACGCCCACATGCAGACATTCCTTCCCATCCTCGGCCTGGAACCCCTCTTAGGAGGCCAGTGGGGAAGCACTATTGGTATTCATTTGATAGATGAGGAAACTGAGGCACAAAGAGGTCCAAGTCACATAGTTCTTAACATGGCACATCCAACTCTGGCCTGTGTAGCAGAACCCAGGTCAAGGGCAAATGCCCCCAGGAAGCCACCCCTGTCCCCAATGTCCCAACTCCCCTCAGCAAGCAAGGGTGGGTACATATGTTAGGTCATTCTCCAGCCAGGACCTTTAGCCTCACAGGCCTAGTGGTCCCTAAGGCAGCAAGGCCCTCTGGCACTTGGTCATCTCTCCACCACCGAACTCTGGCTCCACCATCAGAGATCAGCAGCAGCCAGGAGACCTCAGGAAGAAATGAGGAATGCTGCTCTGTGGCCTGCTTAGGTCTTGGGGTTTCCAGATAATAATTTCACCCTCAAGGAGGGGAGGGCACTGACCCCCCCCCCACCCCGGGGAAGGAGTCTGGCTGGGTAGGGATATTACAGAAAACACCTACAGGGCACATAGTGGTCCCACTTCATGCAGCAAGACTATAAAGACAGCCAGCATGGTGGGCAGAGCAGAACCACATGGTTGGAATCCCGACCCCCACCCAGCCTCGAATTGGCCCAGTACAGTGTGGCCTCTGTGCAGCTCCTACCCAGACATGAACTCACGCTCCAAGCCCCAGGATCAAGAACCTGCCCTTCAAGGTTCCTAAGAAGGTCCTATTACATTGCCCAGTTGCAGCCAGGCATGGTGGATCACACCTGTAATCCTAGCACTTTAAGAAGCTAGGTGTTATGATGGCCTGAGGCCTGAACAAGAGCAAGACCTACAAATAATATTTTTCTAGAAAAGACTTAGCCAGGTGTAATGGCATGTACCTGGAGTCCCAGCTACTTGGGAGGCTGAGGAAGGAGGATTGCTTGAGCTCAGGAGTTGAAGGTGCAGTGAGCTATAATGAGCCACTGTACTCTAGCCTGGGTAAGAGTTAGAGCTTGTCACCAAGAACAAAAATAAAAACAAAAATAGACCAAAAAATCGCCTACAGCTAGATACCATGGCTCATGACTAGAATCCTAGCACTCTGGGAGGCTGAGGTGGGTGGATCACCTGAGCTCACAAGCTGGAGACCAGCCTGAGGGAGACTCTGTCTCTCCTAAAAAAAAAAAAAAAAAGAAAAGAAAAGAAAAGAAAAACAAGCTGAGTATTATGGCAGGTACCTGTAGTCACAGCTACATGGGAGGCTGAGGCAAGATCGCTTGAGCCCAAGCGTTTGAGGTTGCTGTGAGCTATGATGGACACCATAGCACTCTACCTAGGGCGAAAGAGTAAGACTGTCTCAAAAAAAAAAAGTTGGGTGTCTGTAGCTGGATGGTTAGAGCACTGACCCCCATGCACCGCGGTTGGTGGGTTCGAACCCTCCCTGGGCCTGTTAAAATTTAAAAAAAAAAATCACCCATTTTGGGCCTCGGTCTCATCAGCTACAAAATGAGCTAACAATAGGACCTACTTTATAGGCAGTTAAGAGAATTAGTTACCACATCTAAGGCCCTCAGAACAGTGCCTGGTCAATAACTGTGGAATAAAATTACTATGATGTAGTCTCTAATGAGGCACCAGCCCCCACCACCTCTATCTCCACTCAGGCCCAAAGCCCACTAGAGGAAGGGTCCTAAGGCCCAAAGGCCACTACAGAAGGTAGGTTAGATCTTCCCATAGCTTTTCCCCAAAGGATACCAAGAGCTGCTGGGAAACCTCTCACCCTTCCCAGGGAGCTGTATGCAATGGATTTACACCACTCTACCACTCCATGGGTACAGGGCTTTGCTGTTCCCAGAAACCAGGCACCCAGCAGCATCCCCACAATGTGCCCAAGATGAATGCATTCTTATCCCCATTATGTTACTGGGAAAACTGAGTACTTTCTCCTTCCTCATACAAGGGGACGTATGAGTCCAAGGTCCTGGAGTGAGACCAGATTAGCGCTCTCTCCAGAACTAACATGGAGCTAAATCCTAATGGCTCCTACCAGTGTACCTGTGTCCATGGCATCTTTTACCCTCTGCCCTGGCCACACTCCAGGATCCAGTTAAATGGTAACCTCTTCTGAGTGGCCTCCCTGGGGGAGGGCAGGTCCTCATTATCACCTCTTTTACCCCTATTCTTCTCCTGGGAGGCTCTGCCTTTTCTTCTCCATTAGGGATCCCTGTACTCCCTGTGCTTCCCTGCTCTGCTCTCTGTGGCTTCCCCTCTCTCCTCTTTAGAATATAACCAAAGTGCTCCCCTAGATATAAACATCAGGCCAGCCTCTGCTGCCTCCAGATCTCACTGCCAGCCCCTCTCCCCACTGCTCTCTACTATAGCCACAGGAAGCAAGTTCCACCTCTGAGAAATCTCTCCCTACATGTGTTTTGTTCCGAGCTACATATTCAAAGGTTCGAACAGAGCATGACACACAGGAGATGCCCGCTGATGGGTTTAGTGAGTCAATCATTGAAGAATGAATGAATGACTGAAATAAACAGGTGGCTATGTAGTATGTGGTTAAGAGCACAGCTATGGATTCAAATCTCAGACCTACCACCTGACTTCAAGTCACTTTGCCTCCCTGAGTCTCAGTGTTCTCATTTGTAAAGTAGTAATAACAGTGATAATACCTGCTTCATAGAGATATTTCGAGGATTAAAAGGGAGAGTATCAATAAATCCAGCACTGAATTCTGAGCCTGGCACACAGTAGGCGCTAAGCACATGGCCCTTGTATACTCATGACTAGTTGGGGGGCCTCACCCCTCCCTAGCAGGGTCTACTAGTCTCAGACAAACCTGGCTTCTCAGGGCCCAGAGAGCGCTCTCCCTAGGATACCAGGCTTGGCATCCCAGGATGGCCATAGACTGACTTCATGGCACAGGAACTTGGGAATTTCCTGGCAGGAAGGCTTCTGTTGCCTGGACATGAAAACAGCTGATGGGCAGCTGGGGTTGGTAAGAGGTACTGCTAAAACTCAGCCCAGCAAGATGGCTGCCCCACCCCCACCTGAGCCCCAAGACCTGGGATGCAGACACTGAGGTTTGGACTCAGACCGCAAAAGGCACTGGGCTAGTCCAACCCCTGGTCTGCCCTGTGGAACGACTGTGGACAAAGACTGGGGTTCCCTACCCCAGCCACCTCACAGCCCTTTGGCCTGAACAGACCAGGTATTTCTAGCAACTCCATCCCAGTGTTTGTGGCCTTAAGGGAGGTAAGAGACAGCTTAGAGCAGCCTCTTCCTATTACAGACAGGTTTATAACCAGACAAGGTCATTCAACAAAGGGGTAGCCATGCATGGCTATCCCATTGTACTCTACAGTTTGTAGAGCACATTCACACTTAGGAGCCAGCAACATTCACTGAACACAAACTAGTACATTACTGTCCTGGGGCCATGGATTTGAGAAGGCACAGTTCTGTGCTCAGTCAGCTCCCTGTCTGGCCCAGCTCTCCCCAAGTTGAGGAGAAAACTGAGACTCAAGAGGAGTGACATGCCTGATTCAAAGTGGCTCAGAGCCTCCAATGGCAGAGACAGGACTCAGCCTCAGGTGGCAGAGAGTTTTTGTGATTGTGTGTGTGTGTGTTTTAACAGATCTTATTGGCCATGAATCAATGAGAAAACTGCCAGATGGAGGTCTCAGGGTCCCAAGTTAAAGTCAGAAATTCCACATGGGAGGAATATTTGGAAATTTCCCAGTACTGGCACCAAACAGGAAAGAGTAATGAATAAAAGCTCTCTGTGGTCCTTCTCCTCAGCTGCCCCCATCCTATTCTACAGGTTGAAAAAGGCCCCAGCAGGCACCCATAAGGCCCTTGAGGGGAGGCCAGGGCTCAGTCTCATTCATCCCACTATGCTCTGGCAGAAAGGCAGACCCACACAAACAGACTCACCATGCCCACATGCTCCCACACTCACTGGCCCACAGGCTGGGTCAACCCATGGCTATGCTGTCCCCTCAGGCCAGTGCCCAGCCCCTCAGCATCCATGGAAGCTTTCTCTCAGTTTTTAGTTTCAGGAGTCTCACCCTAACTCCTGTGCTTCCTGGGATGGAAGGAGTAAAGGAGAGACCTTGCAACCCCTGGGAGAAGGCAGTGGGCAGAAAGCATGAGGCCCTGGCAATTGGGACTGACAGTTCTGGGACAGGACAGAATCTCCTTTTCTGCCTGAAGTTCCACCATTAGGGATTCATCCCCTCAGTTCTTAAAGAACTTCCTGGTACCTACTGTGGCCAATCTAGAAATTTGGATGGTCAAGGATAGAGAGCACAGTGGCTTCAACTCCTGTTCTCCATGTGGAAGACTGAGCAAAAGGGACTAATAAGTCTGCTCAGAGAGGAGAGGCTGCTACTCCACCACTGGGCTCCTGCCAGATGGTCCTGTGGGGCCAGGCCACATCTCTCCTTGTCTAGACAGGGGCTGGGAAGTGGAAGTTGGGGTCCCCAGGGGCCAGTCTGTTACTGGGGTGACTGTGCTTCCCCAGGAGGCCCACCCAGCCTGGCTGGCAAAATCCTCCCACGTGCAGCTGCCAGCCCAGGAGGTGAGTCACTGACTGCCCCTTAGAGCCATTTATAGCAGCTCTTGGGAAAGCCACAGACCTCCCAGCCCTCCGGAGCCCTCAGCCTCTGATAGCACACCCCTGCCAACAACCCCCTGGGACACTGCCCTGCACCTAGCATGAGTGTTCTGGTCTGAGGGACCCATTAATGAGACAGGAACATCAGAGTAACAGGAAGAGACCTCACCTAGGTCAAGCTCTGCCCGCCATGACACACCCACCTCTGAAACCCGACTGCGCCCCTACGGACCTGCTCTGGGGACAGTCTGCTGGTCCTCCATGGAGGGAAGTGGCCTCCTTATCCCCATGCCAGGCCCTGGCTGGTCTGTCCCAAATCTGGGTCCAGGGTGTGGAAGCCAAAGGTCAGCGAGGGGAGGAAAGATGCTAAGGCCCCACAGGTAGAGGGGGATACAAGGCCCATGGTCCAGGCACCTGCGGGGGCCAGGCTCCACCCCGCACATCGGCGGTGGCTTCCTTACCGTGGCGTCCTCAGCGCCGTGGTGGCCGATAAGGCGGCTTCCCCCAGGGTGCCGCTGTGCCCAGCGGCTGATGTCGTAGACGCGGCGCTCGATGACCAGCCACTTGTCGCCGGGCAGGTCGTGTGGGCGGATCTGTTCCCAGCGAAAGGTAGGCAGAGGCGCCCGTGGCCGCACCGACCCCTCCCGCGGACCCCGCCCCCCGCCAGGCTCCCCGACGCCTCCCATGGCTGAGCGCGAAAGTCCTAGAGATCCCGGGACGTTTCCGAGGCCGGAGCTAGACACCGATGGAAGCGAGGTGGCGTCCCCTGGGGCCTCCGCTGCAGCCGCCCGTCGCTCCGGGCCCCGCCCTGCCGCTGCGGCCGCCGTACGAGCGTGCGCCTGCCCGACTCTCGGCGCAGGCAACTTTCCTGCCTTATAACCGTGCTCTCGGCGCCCGCCTCGCCTCGCCCTCCCCTTGTCCCGGCCCCCGGGCGGTCGGCCCCCAGCAGGCTCCAATCCCCTCGCGGCATCACGGGCTCCATTGGCCGGCCCCGGAGGGCGGCGTCGGGGCGGGCTCGCCCCTCCGTGGAGGGCCGCGGCCACCATGCCTGGCCCTGCCCGCAGGACACTGTCCCGCCCCGGCTCCCGGCTCGCCGGGCTCCCGGCTCGGCTAGGGGGTGGAGCCCGGGATACAGCACAGCCTGGAGCCGGCCCCGGGCCGCCGTAGGGGGCCGCAGGCAGAGTCAGGGTCTGCGCCCTTGGAGGGTGGGCTGAGGATCTGGGGGCTTGCAGCGGCGCGTCTTGGAACGTTAAATTCGGAGCGCCCAGAAGTGGGACTCTATTTCAGGATGACTGCAAACAGCCTTCGAACAATGGGCCCCCACATCTGAGCCTCTAGGCCATCCCAGCTGCCCCCACCGCCACCAGGGCTCCTGGAGATCTCTATGCTGGGGGCCGAGGCTGCAGGCTGAAGATGCAGAGGTGAAGGGTTGCCCATTGGGGAAGAAAAGGAACACGGTGACCATATTCAACCCTCACTTCCTTTTTTTTTCTTAAATAAATTCAAGTCCTTTTGACATAAGTAGCTAATTAAATTGCTCTTTGTTTGAGATACAGGTGCCCGTCCTAAAAGTTAAGTTCACATCAACAAATAATAAAAGTGGCTCGGCGCCTGTGGCTCAAGTGGCTAAGGCGCCAGCCACTTACACACAAGGTGGCGGGTTCAAATCTAGCCCAGGCCCGCCAAACAACAATGACGGCTGCAACCAATAGCCGGGCGTTGTGGCGGGCGCCTGTGGCCCCAGCTAC